TGAATGGGTTCAGGCTTGTCTGTGAGGAGATCCTGCAGAGAGTTGAAGGCTGTTGAGAAGTTGGAGTGGATTTGAGGTTAAACAGCACAGCAGGTAATGACAGCTGCCTGTTCTCAGAACAGCGGCTACGAGGCTGCTCTGAGCTAGTGGGAACCTATGAGGGGCTAATTAATGCCAGTAGAGGGGGATTAGGGACCCGTCTGAAACAAGGCAATTTGGAAAATTATAGGAACCACACTGACATAATCACACTTATCAGTTGGACCACCCTGAAGGGGGACAGCTATTTTCAAAAAACCTAATCAGTATTAAGATAATAGCACTTTACTCAGAACACCGTCTATAGTACAAGATTACATCCCAATGTTTAAAATGATTTACACACTTAATATAAATGAAAATACTTGGTATTACTTTAATAATTAATTTAATGTTTCTGCATGTGTAAAATGTATTTGTTTATTAGGTGTATTTGTACATAATGTCTCATGTTCTACGAATGCTCATGCACCCAAATCAATACCTACATGCATACATAGGTTTCTATCTACATACTTAAAAATGATGGTTCTTAAAGGTTTCAAGAAAATGGTTCTATATAGAACCATGAACACTGAAAGAACCGTCTGCATGAAAGGTTCTTTGCATGGTGAAATGGTTCTTCAGATTGATGCAGAATGTGCTGTTAATGGTTCTAGATAGAAACTGTTTGAAAAGGGTTCTACAGAACACCAAAAAAGGTTCTTCTGTTTTGTCAAACTTGAACAATAGAAACAATAGAAACAATAGACAATAGAAACAATCTAACAATAGAAAAACCCTTTTTGGTGCTATATGGAACCCTTTTCAAAGGTTTCTACATGGAACTATCTGCAGCATGTTCTCCATCAATCTGAAGAACACCATGCAAAGAACCCTTTAATCATGAAAAGTGTGCTTTGAGTGTTCATAGTTCTATATAGAACCATTTTCTTTACTAAAGAACCCTTGAAGAACCACCTTTTTAAGAATGTATTAAATGTTAAATATTATATCAATGATCAACTCTTCCATGCTTACCTAGGTTTCTATCTACACACTTAAAAATGATGGTTCTTAAAGGGTTCTTTAGTAAAGAAAATGATTCTATATAGAACCACAAACACCCAAAGAATCCTCTGCATGATTAAAATGTTCTTTGCATGGTGAAATATTTCTTCAGATTGATGACGAATGTGCTGTAGATGGTTCTAGATAGAAAAGTTTTGAAAAGGGTTCTATATAGCTTCAAAAAAGGCTTCTTTTATTGTGTCAAGCTTGACACTGTAATAATAGAGGAATGTTTTTTGGTGCTATATGGAACCCTTTCTGTAGAACCATCTACAGTACATTCTCCATCAATCTGAACACCTTTGCATGGTAAAAAACACTTTATTCATGCAAAGGGTGCTTTGAGTGTTCATGGTTCTATATAGAACCAATTTCTTTACTAAAGAACCGTTGAAGAACCATCTTTTTAAGAGTGTATTAAATGCTAAATATTTTATTAATTATCAACTCTTTCATACATACCTCGATTTCTGTCTACACACTTAAAAATGATGGTTCTTAAAGGGTTCTTTAGTAAAGAAAATGAAAAGGTTTCTATATAGAACCATGAACACCCAAAGAACCCTCTGCATGATTAAAAGGCTCTTTGCATGGTGAAATGGTTCTTCAGATTGATTGAGAATGTGCTGTAGATGGTTCTATATAGAAGCGTTTTAAAAAAGGGTTCTATATAGCACCAGACTTAACATTGTAACAATAGAAGAACAGTTTTTGGTGCTATATCGAACCCTTTCCGTAGAACCATCTACAGTACATTCTACATCAACCTGAACACTTTTACCATGCAAATAAAGGGTGCTTTGAATGTTCATGGTTCTGTATAAAACCATTTTCTTTACTAAAGAACCCTTGAAGAACCATCTTTTTAGGAGTGTATTAAATGTTAAATATCATATTAATCATCAACCCCCATTGCAGACACTGAGCTTATCAGTACAACATCTACTTACACCTGTAGCATTACACTATATTAAGACTATGACATAATAACGCTCCATTATTGTAAAGCACCTCCTCACTGAAGTTTAACGGACGACTACCTGGCTATGCTATGTTGCAAACAAATCTGGATAAAGTGAGATATGTAACTGCAGTTGTGGCACCACTGCTTCCATAAATGGTGTTAAGACATCCGATCATTTCCATTGAATTCAGTGGTCATATTCCATCACTGTTTACAGGACCAGACCTCTGAACAGAGCATTTCTCTATTTGAAGTGTGCACACATAATGGGATACGTGCTTTGTGTGGCTTAACCCATTGAAAACCCTAAAGACGCAGCACAAAAAGCCCATACAAGCCCAGGACTAGCCTTGTTGCTAATGTGAAGGCTGCTAATTATGCTTATGCTTCTGTGTTTAAAAGAGCTGGTTTGGGGGATTTATTTGATCTGAAGCCCACAGCTGTGTTTTAATATGCGCTCTTTGTGTCCAGACCCTCTTATCAAGCCCTTCATGTCGCACCCATGGCAACAAGATGGGCAGAAAGAGAAAGACGGGGGAGAGAGGGAGAGATCTGTAGAGATGAAGTGTGCAAATGACAGCCTCTTGAGAACAGGCAAGGTCTTAGCCTAAACTCCTGATTAGGGCTGCACAATATGGATAAAATATGGAAATTCTACAGCGCCATTGTATTGTTACATAGTATGATTATGAACTAAAAATGTGGTCAAATATTGGCCTGCATTCGTTTTAATCAAAATAATTCACATTATATATCAGTTGGATCACACGAATGCCTTCTTTTATCAAAGCCACCACATAATCTCATCTGGAACTGCGATTGGTCAGGACGCTCATGCGGTTTCAATATTGCGAAGGCCAGTATCACACTAACAATTAACAAACACCACCTTAGGCTGACCTAATCTTCTTGCTGAGCAAGGAAACATAAATCAATGAAGGAATTCACATAATGTAAATAGGCCAGCTCCAAGGAATGTCCTAATCGCTTAGAGGAAATAGATGAAATAAAGTGAGCAAACACTGAAACAATGGAGCACCTTCTAAAGTGTGTTGTAACATCACAACCTGACATGATACAGGGAAGTAAGAAATGAAAAAATCCATGCAAGTATGAGCTACAAAGGTGGAGCCCTGTTACTAACAAACCCTTTCCCACCACCACTGTCCTCCTTCACACTTGCTTTTTAGAAGTAGTTAATGTTGTTCAGAGGTTGGGGTGTCCACTTCCACACAATAAAGTAGCTCTACAGGTCTTCTAATGTCCTACTTTTTAGCAGAAAGCCAGGTCTCGTGATGTGGGCCCCACAACATTAACCTCATTAACTGCATTTGAGGAATGTTAAAAAGCCTAAATATGTTCAAAAGGTGTGAACAGGGCAAATGGAAATGGGTGCTTTGGATATCGCAAGCATTTTCCGTACTATGTTCCATGAACCTAAGGACAGTTTTAACCCTTGTGTGGTGTTGATGTGTTTGTTACTCAGTGGTCTGGTGGACCCACCGCATTATTGTGTATTTAAATCAATACAGCCATAACAATTTATGTAAAAATACCAGATGTTTAAAATATCACAAGTGGCCAGTGTAGGGTTCTCCTTTAGCAGCTGTAGTCAGTCAGCAGCCTGTCCATGTTGTCCACCCTCACACACACACACACACACACACATATATACAAAAACACACACACAGACACACACACACACTAACAGCAGGCCATGTAGGAGGAGAACAGAGTGAAGTACACAGCACCTCCACACTTTTACTCCCCACAGGTCACTCACCCAACACCACATGTGTAATATAAATGTGTGGGAGGCGAACAGTGTGAAGACACTGAAAATGTGTTATTTTATATGTTCTTCACAGAAAATGAGTAAAGGCCAAGAATCTGAGGCTGAGATAATAATAAATCACATAATTTTTTCTTTTGGTAAACATTGAAAATGGGTCCCACAGACCTGAACACCACACAAGGGTTAATCAGCTTTCTAAGCTAAAAGCTAATATCTTTATTTGTAGTGTATTTGTGAGGAACCCAGATAGCATACAGTTCTGGGCCGATTCTAACTTTCTTACACGAGTGTTGGTTGACTACTGGGCATATGTCAGTCATGCAGGCCAGAATAGGGCCAGATGCCACACAGCCGCATACAGTTTTGGCCTGTGTCCATATTTGTGGGCCAAATCTGGCATGAATTCTGTGGACCAACAATGTAGTTGGGCTAAATTTGGGCCACATCTGTTAGTTCTACTCACTTTACAGTGTGTGGGCCAGATCTGGGCCGAGGACCTGGCCCTATACTGGACCAAAACAAACCCAAGGATGTGGCCCAAAAGTGAGCCAGACAAATTTAGCTAACTGGGAAAAGACACACTTAGTTCCTGATAAATATTTTGGGTTTAATTTCATTTTCATGTCTTGGCTCAGCTCCTGAACTGCTGTGCTGTTGCTCACATATCTCACTTTGAGCATTTAGCAATATTTTTTAACCCAATATGCCTCAAAACCATTAGTCTAACTTCAGTTCTTATGCTTATAGATACTAATAAAATCCCCTGCAAATGTGTAGGGAGTTTGTTTTAACCTTATACTTTATCTTGTACTCTATTTTTACTTGTACTTGAGTCATTATTTCATTAGAGTAATAAAAGGTTTACTTCAGTGTGATTTCAGGACACTTTGGCAGCGAGTTCAAGAATCAAACATGCTCTCTTAGACTAACAAAGAGCACCTGTTTCACTATAAAAGCTGAAACCTAAAAGGTGTCACCGATTTAACTCACTTCTTGGCACATTAAGTCACAGGAAGAGGACAAAAAATGTGCAAAGTCATGCTAACACAGACAGAAACGGTCCAACACGGTCATTCCTCTCAGAGCAGCAAACGCCGAGACTCGTACTAAGTATCGCGGGACTTCGGCGCACCTCTGTACGTTGGAATCGGAGAGTCGCGTCAAGCATCGCGAGATTTCAGCGCCTGTATAAAAGCAAGAGCACCGCTCTCTCTCGTTTGCTTCGAGTTCACACAGGCTGGAGAGTAGCAGAGGGTATGTAAACCACATTTTCGCAAGTTTATATACGTAAAACATATCTTTTTGTTAAGATTTCGTTGAGTTTGCGGCGAGAACGAACACTTTTTACGTTGTTTTTGCTTCGCTCTGCTTTACAATGAATGAAAGCTCAATAAAGTTAACCATTCAGATATCAACAGGTTTTGGGGAGCTTATTTGTAATATTCCCTCGTTTTAGGTTTGTGTAGCCATAATTCAGACTTTTTTTGTAAAGATTTTGGCAGCTTTCTTTGCAGGTTCTTATTTCTGCAGAATGAGTTAAATCTAGAAATGCTGTCTTAATTAATTTAACTAATCGATATAACAACATATCAACAGATTTTAGCACTTCTTTCAGTCTTAGCATTGAATGATTTTGACTTTTTGAGTGGAAAAATAGTAGTGTAGTGTTCTTGTTTACAAATGAACTGCAATTGACTTCTTTCTTAGGTTTAAAAAGGCAGGAAATGCTGTATTCATAGATCTGCTGCTGGCCTACAGCACTGTTATGCTTATTTGCACAACTTTGCAAATGTTTACAGATGTTTATTGCGGTAGTCATTCAATTATGTTTACTCAGACATGAAGCTATTCATATCTGCACATGTACAGATATTCACACTTGTCTGTTCTAGTGTGTTACATGTCATACATGTGTGCAATCAAGTCTAATTCCCTGTATGTGTAACATACTAGGCAGAATATAGTGATTCTGATTCAGACACAGATCTTGTTACATGATGACTAGGTTGAAAAATGTATTTTAGACCTTCATCTGGTCACCGGAGATTCTGACACCTGTACATTTATGGGCCTTAACACGGCCATAAATGTTACGAAACTGAGGAAGTGCTTAAAGTACAAGCCGAAGTTTCATTCTTGTGGTGGGTTTATGCAAAGCTCTGTCTGATGACTGAATAGATTGCGTTAGTGGTTCTTATGAGTAACGTTCTGTCTCCTCGCTCTATTTGATCATACAGGCCAGGTACATATTTACTGGAAAACTTCACTGCCTCATTTCAGCCTAACGTAATTTGTCCTTTTTGATTAGGCTAGTCATTGTACTATGTGCTTTTATACATTTCCTCTTTTTTTTAATGAATTCTCTGTTCCTGTTTTCAGTCCAACTGAAGAAAATGGCAGCTGGCAAAGCAAAGATTGGGCAGCTTGCTCCTGACTTCACAGCCAAAGCTGTGATGCCAGACGGCCAGTTTAAGGACCTCAAGTTGTCAGACTACAGAGGTATGATTAGGATATACAATATGGACACAATACTACTATTGCAGTTATACTACAGTATATTCAGATACAGCAGTATGTGAACCTGTTTAACCTGTTAATAGATCCTGATCATTATTCAGTAATTACATGGAAAACAATGCAAACTGCCTGACTTATTCTTAAGATGTAGGAGTTAGGAATGCAGGTGGAGTTTAAGAGATTAATACACAATATAATATGATACAGTACACTGTCAGATTTCTCTGACATTTGCCTTGCATCACAGCTGCTCAGTTAAAAGGGGAATGAAAAAACAATTAGACGATCACATAAAACACTGTACAACAATCCACATGAATACACTTCTCACTTTCACCATATTCCACAAGGCCACTACCACAAATATTGCATATTAAGTGTATATGTTGCTACAAACAGTCTACAGTCTGTTCTTTTTGTTCAGTGTCACAACTGACTGAGTTCAAGTGGTGTAAACACATCGGTGAATCCTTGAAATGACATGGTTCTCACACAGGCCTGTGCTATTTTGACCAAAACGTGGATTTGAATTACTCCGTTCCTCCAAACAGCCACAGAAATGCATGATTAAAGACTGGTTTGTGCCATTTTAACCAAAATTTGGTTTTGAATTACTTGATTCCTCCAAACATGCACAGAAATGCATCTCTAATTAGCCAGAATGTTCAGCACAAAAATACATTTTTTCATTTGTCACACGCTTATTTCCATATTGCTATGTCACTGTCAAGCTTAATGAAAAGCATAATGCATAAATTCAGCTCAGTCTTGCTAACTGTTATAGTAACCATGAGCAGTTGTGCTGTTGAGTTTCCCAACTGTTGGCTTCCTTTTGTTTTTAGGGAAGTATGTAGTGTTCTTCTTCTACCCACTGGACTTCACCTTTGTGTGTCCCACTGAGATCATTGCCTTCAGTGACGCTGCTGAGGAATTCAAGAAGATCGACTGTGAGGTTATTGGTGCCTCTGTTGACTCACACTTTTGCCATCTGGCCTGGTGAGCAATCTGAATAACTAAAATAACCCAAAATAATTCTTTTACGTTTTACAAGATTGCACAGTCTAAAGACATTTTCGCCCGTCTCTCTGTGGCAGGATAAACACCCCCCGGAAACAAGGCGGTCTGGGACATATGAAGATTCCTCTTGTGGCAGACACACTCCGCTCCATCTCCAAAGACTATGGTGTGCTGAAAGAGGATGAGGGCATTGCTTACAGGTGTGTTGGGAAGGAAAAATATTAGACAGGTTTCCATCCAAAGATGAGGGGAAAAAACAGGTTTATAACAAAAGTAGTGGCAAACAGTTTTTCTCTGAAAGTCATACAGAAGTAGGTTTGGTCAGTATTTGACAAATAATATTGGTATAATTGCTGTTTCCATCCTCAAATTTATGCAGAAAAAGAAAAATTGACACTGTCATGATGTAGTGGATGGAAATGGCTATTATCAATATTATTTGTCAAAAACTGGCCAAACTTTTTTTTTTTCTGTACTTCAAATGCTGTGTAAAAACTATAATGGAAATGCTTTTGACTGGAAAAAAGTGCTATTATGCTCAATTACACATAAATATAGTAACAACTTTCATATTGTATGCCTTCCTACACAGTTGGAGATTGATGGATTGGAATTTCAGTGCAAAGTAAATTGAATGGAAATGAGCTGCAAGCAGCAAAACATATTTATATGCATTTTCATCTTATTGTTTGCTACATGCACATAAAGTTGATGGAAGCCTAGCTATTGACAGACTTTCTCACACTGAAGAAAGTAGGATACCAGTACACCCCTTGCGTAATGGCCTTTAAAGTTCAGTTTCAACTGTTTCTTTCTCAGAGGCCTTTTCATCATTGACGACAAAGGCGTCCTCAGGCAGATAACCATCAACGACCTGCCGGTGGGCCGCTCTATTGATGAGACACTGCGTCTGGTCCAGGCCTTTCAGTTCACCGACAAACACGGAGAAGGTACAGTATAGTACAGAAACATGATCTTCAGGCTTGTCTTCATCACCATGACACCATGAATTTTTCACTAGTCATCATTACATGAATGAAACTGGTTTGCTGTGGTCACACTGAGCTGTCTTGGGTGCTATTTTGGGTGTGTGGTCATTGTGATTTTGACATGTGAGGATGTGGTCATGGCCTGAAAGCTTGAGAGTAAGCAGTGTGATTAGCCAATGTGGGGCCAGATTTAAGTAATCACAACTAACACTAACAATACCTATTTTGCTATTGCATTTTTGACATATTTTGAATAAACAATGGCCAGTTTGGGTCATGGCAAAATGTTAAATGAAATAAAAACACAGCTGGCTCACCGATTTTATTAATATGGCCCTTTTAGTGGTTGAGTTTGACCCTGAACCAAGGCATGTTTGATGTCTAAAGTCTGCTTCTTCAGTTTTGCACTGGAGCTATGCAGTGTACTCCATTTGTGGTACCATGTTACATAAGGAAACCTATTGTAACCATGAACACTCAAAACTATTTACATGCTTGAATGGTTCTTTGCATGGTGTAACTTAAAGTTTGGGGCGTTGCAGTTTTCATGACGTTAATGTTAAAGGTATAGACCTCATATATCCAGTGCAAAAATAAAGAAGCAAACTTCAGACAACAAATGTGTTTTGGCTGATCAGTTGTAACTGTCATAAGGGGAAAGTAGGCAGACTTAATTTACCTTTTACATATGCTGCTCTCACAGTACATACTACCTACACTTGTACACTCTCCACTCACTCTGTGTGTATATATATATATATGTATATTATATTTATACTTGCATATCTATATATTGTTTTTACCACTCTCGTCATTCTGTGTGTGTGTGTGTGTGTGTGTGTGTGTGTGTATGTATATGTATGTGTGTATATATATATATATATATATGCGCAGTATTTTGCACTTCTGATTACATGCTAAATACATTTCATTGGCTCTGTATCTGTACTCTGCACAGTAACAAAGTTTAATCGAATCTAATCCAATCTAATTTCATAAATTAGGCTGGACCGTTGCTTTAATAATTAAATGGAAGTGATAAACCCCTCTTTGTTTTTTCTAGTTTGTCCAGCGGGATGGAAGCCCGGAAAGGACACAATCAAGCCCGACGTCCAGAAGAGCAAAGATTTCTTCTCCAAACAAAACTAAACAGACGAGACTCTGCTGTATAGTCTAGCAGGCCCCACACTGGCACTGTGCATAGGACCTCAGTAACCTAATTACCCCTGTTAAAGACGTGTGTAGCACTTGTAGGTGTTATGTGAGATCTTGAGCGGTGGAGTGGGAACATCAAATGATGTCATAGACTATAGAAACACATCAGTGATGTTTTAGTGGCCTTTTTTGGATGTTTACACTGTCACACTTCCTTTGTGTTATAAAGCTGTACTGTAGAGTGGGGACCAAACTTTGTGTTTTTACATTTCACAACAGTAAATACTGTTCAGACGGTTTCTGTGACAATTGTGGTCTGAGATGAACTTCAGTCTTCTCCCCATGCCCTGTATTTCAGACATGTTTTGTAATAAACTCATGTTCAGAATTTGACATTCGCTCTCTGCTTCATTACAGAACTTGGAAAGTCAGTTAAACGCATAGCTTCTCAATGAATGGCTAGCAAATTGTTCACAACAGCACTATAGTTATTAAATGTACAGTTAAATAGTAGCTTTATAAGGTAGGTGAATCACCTTAATAGGAAGGGTCTAATGAGTGGAAGTTAGATCTCAGGTGTTTCTATGTCTGGAAATCAGACATGTAATATGAGCAACCATCCTGTATATATTTACCCCTCTATTTGTTAAAATAAGTGAGTGGATCAGGTTGTATTTATCATCTGTCATGTAATTTAATGGGTGAAGTAAAGGGGAACTCCACCAGTTGTGAAATTTCTGAATAAGTCAGTTCTTGAGATATAGACAGGGTCATTCAGAGTAGTTTGATGTGAAATGGTTCATTATAGAGAAACTTACCAGAAATTGAGGGGGTCTTTTATTTGCATGGTCCCTGAAGGTGCACTCCAGGTCCCAACAGTGTGAGAAAAGCAAGACCACTAGGGAAAGGGGTCAGCAAAGATGCCAAGAGGTGCATGACTGGGGGCAAAAAGTGCACTTCGAACACCTTATCTAGCTTAAAGGGCAATTCCACCAATGTTTCAAAATTTCTGAATAATTGAGTCCTTGAAATGTAAACAAACTCATTCAGAATGGTTTGGTGTGGAATGGTTCATTGTAGAGACTCTGATTTCTTATAGCGGTTTTATTTTCTATCCAAAACAACGAGTGAACCTACACGTATCTTCTGAGTTTTCATATGTAACGTTAATGATGGAAAAATACTCATAAATCTGAAAACAAGTTTTCTTTGGGGAGTGTTTTGCCTCACATCGTCCTACATGTACTCTTCCACCGTGAATGGATTAAAATACATTTTAAGCCAAAACTTTATCGCAAAAGTATGAAAAAACAACGTGTCAGACATCAGCTATTGTATATTTAACCATTTCATGTAGTAACTTTCTGTAAGGGAGCTTTTAGAGGTGGACGTCTGGTTCCTATCACCACCACTGTGAACAGTTCTGACTCCGTAAGTTTCTCCAAACCACAATGACTTCGTTTGCACCTCAACCATTCAATTAGATAGAATTTTTGAAAATCGGTGGAGTTTCCCTTTAATATGACTACGATATCACTGCTGTCAATGGCGGGAGAGACCGTTAACGTTAATGCGCGAGCAACAGTTAGCCGGTGAGCTAATTCACCTCAGCTGTGTGCATTTTTAGCAGTGATTAACTGTTAAAATCTAACGCTGTGGACATTTAAACTTTTAAAAACTAACGTTTTAACATTTATGTGCTAACTTGGCTTAATTTGGACTAAAAGATTGTTTAACGAGTCTCCGATTAACTGAGCCGAGTTAACGGTACGTTTTAGTGAGGACTGCCTTCAGGAACGAAGCCGAGCGAGGGAAGCTTTCTCGGTTAACAGCTTAAGGTCAGATTTAATTTAGCAAAAAAATAATAAAAAAAACTAAATAAACACCAAGCAAATGGCGACCAGACTGAAAAAACGAGGAAAAACAAAGCAGGAAACTGCTGAGGTAAGACACCAAAAACCAAGGTGTAACGTTAACTGACTTTACCTAGAAGCAAACTAACCTAGCGAACTTATTCTCCAGCTTCTCGTTCGAATTTTCCCGTTCCACCTTAAATGTTGCAGGCTGCGGCAGTTACTGTATGAAGATAATCACATTCTGAATGGACCTGCTGCACCATTTAAGGTGGAACGGGAAAATTCGAACAAGAAGCTGGCGAATAGGAAGCCAACTTCAGCGTCGTTTGTGGATTGGTGTTGTATTACTCTGTGTCGTGTATAAAATCCATATAAGCAACTTCGTTACGCCAGTAAAATATAAGATACAGACTACACAACTTAAAATGAAATAAGAAGGGAAGACATTTACGTCATTTTAATGATTACAGCCTTAAAATGAATCTAGCTACACATTCTCCTTTTTATTATTTGGAGTAAGTTGTGAGTTGATATTTATGACAAGGCGTCCCATAGCGAAGAAAAACAAGAACAAAATGCCTTTTCAAAGTGCATCTAAGGGTTTCCCGATTAAGACCAAGGAGTCGTTGAGCCCATAATTTTGCTCCAGCTGGTTAATAATGTATACTCTCAAAAAAAAATGGTTCTTTAGCTAGTAAAGCTTGTGATTCTATATAGAACCATGAACACTCAAAGAGCCATTTGCATGCTTAAATGGTTCTTTGCATGGTGAAATAGTTCTTCAGATTGGTGGAGAATGTTTTGTACACTTTTTGAAAGTGGTTCTATATAACCTAGCACCAAAAAGGGCTCTTCTGTTGTTTAATGTCAGGCTTGTCACAACAGCAGAACACGTTTTGGTGCTACACACTGTTAGAAATAAAGGTACATTTTTCGTTCATCAAGGTACAAAGAATGTAAATATTCCCTCAAAGGTACAACAGTGGTTTTAAGGTCCAATTTTGTACCTTAAATAAGTTTTTCCAGATGAAAAGTTCGTATTTATACCTTTTCATAACCTTAAAACAGAACAGTAAAATAAAAGCCTGGAGACGAGACGGGGTGTGTGGAGTCAGTACAGTTTAGAAAATATCATTTCAATGGATTATGGTTCAGTTATGTTCCCTGACTAAAGGTACTGAGATGTACCCTTGAGGGAACCACCCCAGTGACAGTTTAGTACCTTTTTTCTGAGAATGGACAGAACCATTTTCAAGTGGTCGTATCGACGGCATTGGTTTCATTGACTGTGTGGTGTTGATGGTCAGTCTAATAGTTTTGTTTTTTTTCTAAATGGAGAGATGTGACAGAATGTAATAACCTTTTGTGAGATATCTTCAGAACCCTTTGGATATCTGGTTCCTATCACCACCACGTTGAAAAATTCTGATTCTGAAAGTTTCTCTTCAGCAGTATATTTCACACCAACCCACTCTAAATTATCCCATAAACATCTTAACCCTTTAATTATGCATACATTTTGAGAAATCTTTGGATTTACCCTTTATTCTGGTGGGAGGACACAAATACAGTCCAGCACCTTATTACTAAAACAATTAAAGCGTCGTATCAATCGGTGTTTCCCTCATTTTGTCCATCCCTTTTATTATCTGAGCTGTTTAATGCTTAAAAACCCATTGAGCGTAAATATATTTTTTCCTTTTGTATCATCTGCTTTCTTGCCAAGCATTGATACTTGTAAAAGTCTGAATTGTGTTCTAATGTTATTACATTATTAGTAATTATAAACTTAAAGCACAGTGTTTCATGTATTGTAAGTGGTCTTTTTGTATTTTCTCTTTCTAGTGGGACAGCTTATTCCTCCAAGAACTGAGTACTGAAGAACAATCTTTGGTCTTTGTGAAACGAATGCTAGTGCTTGCAGTGTCCTCCATAACCTACTTACGAGGAATATTTCCAGAAGATGCCTATCGATCTCGCTATTTAGAAGGTGAGCAAATGGCCTCTGGCTTTTTTAGTTGAACAGAAAATGGTTTAGCTGTCCTTTAGCCCTCCTAATCAATCAGTTTGCCCACGGTTAAATTTGAACAGTTACATTACTAGCCGGACATGTTCAAACATAACAAAAAGCAAAAGTTTTCTGACCTTTCTCAGAGTTAAGTTGTACATTCATTCATAGAAACAAACACAACTATCCGCATAAGTTATGAATAGAGCAGTTTAAACTGTTATAAGTACTTCATAGCGGTGAAAATCTTGCTAGAATGCAGCTTTACCTTAGCGGTGATGGGCTACGCTGATGAAAATCTGTGCAGGACTTAACCAACATTTATTAACATCGTGTGATCTGTTTGTAACCAAAAATGTAAAAAAATTATAATAAAAATTATAATAAAAATAAAAATAATTATATTATTGTATTTTTTTTCTACTCACCCTGAGTCTGGTGTCTTATTTTCAGGAAAGGTTTTACATGTATTGGCTCGCTATGGAAAGGTCATTTGTCATAGAGATTATCATCTTGGCTTTTCAGATTTATGCATCAAGGTTCTTAGAGAGGACTGTTCATCTCCAGCAGCCAGCAGAATCGTCAAATGGTAAGTGTTCGGTTAGTAACTGGCTTTAATTTGTATGAATTCAGTCATAGTTACTGATTTCATTCTTTAATAAAAATGTACTTATATAAAATGATATTGTATTCTTTTTTCCTAGGATGATGGGGTGTTTCGATGCTTTGGAGAAGAGATATGTAAGTTATCTTAAGTTACACTCTCAGAAATAAAGGTAGTAAACTGTCACTGGAGTGGTACCCTCAAGGGTACATTGGAGTACCTTTAGTCAGGGAACATAACTGTACCATAATTCATTGAAATGATATTTTCTAAGTTGTGTTGACTCCACACACCCCGTCTCGTCTCCAGGCTTTTATGTTATTGTTCTGTTTCAAATCATAAGGTTATGAAAAGGTACAAATACAAACTTTTCACCTGAGAAAAACTTAATTAAGATTGATTAAGACCTTAAAACCACTGTTGTACCTTTGAGGGCACAGTTTCTCTGTATTTAAGTCAGAAAAACTTACAGAGAGAAAGGCAATGATGAGCAAAAGCTAACCTAGCAAGCATAACTGAGCTAGCAGGAATGACTGTTCTTTCATGTGTTCGTTCATCTGGTTGTGGATGAACTAGGATTCCCAGTACTGTGAATATAAGACGTTGCCATAAAAACAGGGTCGGCACCCCAAATGTTAAGAAGAGCCATTTTGTCCTTTCAACAAAAATCAATCCACCTTGGGAGCCACAACATTTTATAGCCATTTAACCACCTTGACTGTAAATATGTCTCAGTATGTGCTAATGCACTAGTATAGGCTAAAAGTATAATATAAATGCAAATCCAGATTTGCTTTGCTCTGCTTTAAGGTTTAACACAAATATAGCCGCTTTTCTCACATCTCCGGCAGGAAACAAAAGAAGAATAGTTTCTTGTAAAATGTATCTCAGTGTTTGATTTTTTTTATCATTCGCCAGCTTCTTGTTTGAATTTTCCCACCTTAACTGGTGCCTGACACGCCAGAATGTAACGGCTGTACCATTTAAGGTGGAACAGGAAAATTAGAACAAGAAGCTGGTGAATGAGAAGCTTCAGCCTTGTAAAAAATCGAACTGTGAGACATTTTACAAGAAACTATTCTACTTTTATTCTACATTTATAAGCGCTTATAAATGTAAATAAGTCCATTCATCTCCAAAGTATCGATGTTCGTCCTAAATCTTTCTCTTTTCCTTTTCGTTAGCTACTAGTGATGCGAGACTGTTTTCTGCATTTTAGGGTTAAAGGTGGGTGAATTAGCAGTTATAGGCTACATTAACTCCAGCGTTTAATACCGTTTATTGTTAAAACTGTGTTGAACGATCAGCAGAGCTTTATTTTACTGCAAAGGAGGATTATTTTACTTTTACCTACAAATCTAATTCTGCTGTGGAGCCACAACAGGGCAGTAAAAGAGCTGCATGTTGTCGACCTTTGGTCTACAGAATGTCCTTCCCATGTAGAGCCTGTTTCACTCATTCCTCCCTGCTAGTGCTGTTTTATTTAGTGTGGCGCTAGCTAAGCATTGTCTCAGTGATTGGTGGGGATGGTGAAGGAAGTAAAATGATATTATTGGTTGTTTTTTTCTCCGCCCACTGATGCACAGTGATGTAATCAAAACTCAGAAGCTATTAAATGTTGATGGAATGCAAGAATTATGTCTCTTAAGTGACAGATTATAAGTTTTGCTTAGTATGACTAACACGGTAAAAACAGTATAAAATTGTTTGATTTCAGTTTGAATTTAATACTCTGTATTCTGTTACAGTTGCAGATTGTGCTTATTGGGGTAAGTGTGCCAGAATTCGTTTTCTGACTGGGACAGGGGGATTAATATGTATTTCTTGTAGTCTACTACATGTTATCTGTAACCAAACTCCACAGGTGCACAGAGACCCACATGACACCAACGTAAGTTTGTACGCCATTGAAACTTTATGTATATGAATATACATAGTAAGCATGTGCTGATTTAAAAATTTGAATACCTAACATTTTATCATGTTCTACTTTATCATATTATACTTTATATGTAATCATCTGAATGTCCTTTTTATATTATTAATATGGACGTTTGATGGCACAGCAGTCCATATTAATGCTGTGAAGCTGTGAAGGTTCTCAGACCAGCAGCACATTTAATCAGCTGTACAGGCATCAAATAAAGCATGAGATTATAATGTGACAGCATAGCTGAGCACTGTGAAACCAAAGCTTCTCTACATACCTAAAAAATTTTTGGTTAAACTGATTGTTCGACTGAAACGCAGTGACCACGACAACATCATGTGCAGTGAATATCACAGTATACCATGTTATTGAATATCGGCACATGTCTAATCCATATTATATAATACATAAGATCAATAAGAATGAAATAAATATACATACTCCATATTCTATATATTATGTGTAACTGAACACATACACAGCACAGCAAGTAAGCACCTTGACCTGTCTTTGTTATCACAGCATGTCATAGAGTCGTATCAGTTTAAGTTCAAATACTCAGAACATGGGCCACAGATGGACATCTTTAGGTAAGAGCTGTCATCAGCGTAGAGACAACAGTAAAGTATGTAGTGCAGGGCACATAGAAAATAAAATGTAATATTAGGCAGCTTCAGTCAGATTCTTGTTCCATTAACTTAACATAAGCTCAAAAAGTTATAAATATTATTTTAACTAACTTTTTTAAGTTAAAACAATGTATTTTTACAGTGTGGTGGTAATGGGACCCAGAGGTGGTGATGTTTACAATGTAAATATAGTCAAAAGGCAACAAGTTTGTACCCGTTTTCTTGTAATAGCTTTCTTGTGAGGTAGTTTTTAGAGGCTTTAAACGATTCGGACATCTGGTTCCTATCACCACTGTTGTGAACAATTCTCTTATTAAATAATGCAGTTATTTGTGGTCTAAAATTATGTTGATAAGAACCCAGTTGAAATGCTTGTCCATAACTGGCTGTCTCTCTGTAAGAAATGACAGTATGGAGATGAGGGTGACCATGGAGGACACAAAGAAAGCTTCGGTTCTCCTGATCAGGAAGCTGTTCCTTCTCATGCAGAATTTGGACGCTCTGCCTGATGACGTGTACCTCACCATGAAGCTCTACTACTATGATGATGGTAAAACAAACATCCGCAACATGGGGTAAACACAGCTGTTGGAGGAGTCTTTTGATTTATAGAGTGACCTCTCAGTCATGAGGCTAGGCCTGGTCATAATTAGTTTGGTTGATAAGCTGCAAGCTGGATCATGGCTGTGTTCATAAGCCTTATTGCTCAGATCTGATCTTTCTGTCTTGATGGTTTACATTTGTGTTACTCCTGTGCCCTGAAAAAACCTTCATACACAGATTTTCTAAATTGGTAGCGTCATCTACATCATTCAGATGCATTATGAACGTTTTTAATTGCTACTTGATTTTGGTAGAACCCTTGCAGTTTTGAATGAATTGACTAATTTCCCCATTGTTCCTCTTTTGACTGCAGTCAGTTTTGCCATTTTTTAAAGCTATATACTATGAAATGTGCTAACTTATGAAGTGTGGTGTAAAATATGCTTATATATACACTTATCAGGCATAACATTATGACCACCTCCTGTTTCTACACTCATTGTCCATTTTATCAGCTCCACTTACTATATAGGTGCACTTTACTGTAGTCCATCTGTTTCTCTGCATACTTTGTTAGCCCCCTTTTACCCTGTTCTTCAATGCTCAGGACCCCCATGGATCTTCACAGAGCAGGTACTATTTGGGTGGTGGATCATTCTCAGCACTGCAGTAACACTGACGTGGTGGTGGTGTGTTAGTGTGTGGTGCGCTGGTCTGAGTGGATCAGACACAGCAGTGCTGCTGGAGTTTTTAAACACTTCATTGTCACTGCTGGACTGAGAATAGTCCACCAACCAAAAATATCCAGCAAACAGCGTCCTGTGGGCAGCGTCCTGTGACCACTGATGAAGGACTAGAGGATGATCAACACAAACTGCAGCGGCAGATGAGCTATCGTCTCTGACTTTACATCTACAAGGTGGACCGACAAGGTAGGAGTGTCTAATAGAGTGGACAGTGAGTGGACGTAGTGTTTAAAAACTGCAGCAGCACTGCTGTGTCTGATCCACTCACACTCGTCAGTGTTACTGCAGTGCTGACAATGATCCACCACCCAAATAGTACCTGCTCTGTGAAGGTCCATGGGGTCCTGACCACTGAAGAACAGGATAAAAGGGGGCTAACAAAGTATGCAGAGAAACAGATGGACTACAGTCTGTAACTGTAGAACTACAAAGTGCACCTACATAGTAAGGGGAGCTGATAAAATGGACAATGAGCATAGAAACAAGGAGGTGGTCATAATGTTATGCCTGATTGGTGTATATAATATACTTAGAAAATAAATAGAAACAACACATGAATTCTGAACTGACCATCTAATTATGATTGCATGGGCATATACCAAATACGTATCTGATTTAGGAGCACAATAGGAGTCTCAAATCTGGTGTAAAAAGATTACGTAGCTCTTAAAAAAGTATACGCCACTTTGTGCAAAAAATCTCATCCGTGTAACTTTATTCCTGTAATGTGAACACAGCCTCTGCAACTTAGGTCTATACCTATGGACAAAAAGTTTTTTGAATAGATATTTTTCATAATCTTCATTTAATATGGGTTTAATCTGAATTAGACAATTTTCAGTCACACCTTTAGTGTCGGGATGGAAATTAGCAATGTTTAGCCACCTTTGGAAGTGAACTCTGTAGTGACTTTGTGTCCACACTATTTGGAATTTGACAGTCACCCCACCAGACTACGAGCCGCCGGGCTTCAAAGAGGGGATATGTGACAGTCTGTGGTTTGAAGGCACAGCAGTACATTTCAGAGTGGGTGAACTGCACACACCCTTCCACGTCCTGAAGGTCGGGGTGGCGGCTGAGGAAGGCAGAGTGAGCAAACTGCAGGAGGGCAACCACCTGAGAGAAAGCGTCCAGGATTCAGCGCAGCAGAACGTCGGTCAGCTCACTGAGGAGGTAAGCGATTGTTGTTTTGCTATTATATTTAAATGTAACAGCTCAATAAATTGAATAATTATATAGTTGCATATTGAATTACACTCACATTCAGGTTTTCCCTTTGTTTCAATTGCTAAATTCGATATTGGCAAAAAGTACGTTTTTCCTTTCCACAAAACAAGACTGTAAACACAAATAACTTTTAAAATTTCAAAATTAAAGTATAATAAAACATCTGCTTACAAACACAAATGCAACAAACACAAAAACAACCTAGGGCATTAAGCTTAATCTCTGAAATAGGTTGCTGGACACTGCAGAGAGGAGGACCTGCCATCTGAGGATGGTATGTTTATATTCTGGAAGTCTTCAGCAAGTTTAATTGCCCTTCATGACTTGAGTAAACATTTGTATAATCTCTAAAACGATCTTTTGCAGAATCGGCTGCACAGTTCAAGCAACCGACAAAAGCCCCGGCTAAGGTAGAAACGATTAAAATATATTTAAGAAAAACTTTAAAGAAACAACTTGAAAAGACTAAAGAACTTTTTTGTTTTGTTTTTATCAGAGAGGAGGCAGAAACCCAGCAAAGAGGAGGAAGAGGGAAGTTTAAAATCAGCCTTCAACCTTTGGAAAGGGACAAGTAGGCCAATGTCTGATTCTGTCCCATAGTTTGTTTATTTATTTACTTTTTTGTGTTTTAAAATTACCTACACACAGTATGTAAATTATTTCTTATATGATTTATTTGGCATGGGTGTTTATGTTTTTGTTATTAGTGCTCTATGTGTCAGTAAAGGACAATTTTTTCATAGATTGTAGTTTAATAGACAAAGAAAATGTGCTTAAAATATACATTAAAGAACTTTTTTTTAATTGATATTTGATGCCTAGAATGTGAGCAGTTCATTGCATGGCCAAAAAACTGAGTGTAGAGACAGAGAAAGAAGAACTGAACTGTTGTTATATAGTCTCTCCAATCTGTAAGCTATTGGTTTTGTTAATTTATTAATTACATATATTACAATTAATCTGTACATGTACAATTCCTTAATTAAATACAAGTCTTCCTTATTAATTCAGTCATATCTCTAGTCTTTCCATTTCCGTCTGCAACATAACATTTTAAAAAAACATAGTTTTTATTACAAGTAGTGTTCGAGAAGTAAAGTATTTGAGTGAACTCTAGTTAAGGCACAAAAAAAAACATTTAACCAGAAAGCTCATACCTACACATGAACAGCTGAACACCCTTCTCAAATAACATTTTATGTTTTGTTGATTTTGTAAGTGAAAATAAGTTATAGAAAATCAACAAAAACTTCAAATCTAAGCTATAAGACTCAAGTGATTTCAGAGTTGGTGTTGGTGCCTCCAAAAAAGTAGAATGCTTCATTAATTTTATATGCACACATCCAACATTACTGCCATCCTTCACAAACCAAACAAGTAACTATGCTTCAAAACAGGAAAAATACACACTTTCATTATGCACAGTGCAATATATTCTATGATTTTGAGATTGTTCTAGGTGTTAGAAATACTGGGACCCTTAAAATTTGTTTTGAGTTCTTAAATTATCCCTCACACAGATTTCTTGTTAGTCTTGCATGTTTGAATGGTTTCAAAAAGATTAGAGCAGCTGTAGATATAAAATAGTGGTTATGAAAGACTTATCGGCGGCATGGTGGCGCAATAGGTAGTGCTGTCGCCTCACAGCAAGAATGGCCTGGGTTCGCTTCCCGGCCGGGTGACCAGGGTCGTTTCTGTGTGGAGTTTGCCTGTTCTCCCCGTGTCTGCGTGGGTTTCCTCCGGGTACTCCGGTTTCCTCCCACAGTCCAAAAACATGCAGTCAGGCCAATTGGATGTGCTGAATTGCCCCTAGGTGTGATTGTGTGTGTGAATGTGTATGTCTGTCTGTCTGCCCTGTGATGGACTGGCGACCTGTCCAGGGTGTATCCTGCCTTCCGCCCAATGACAGCTGGGATAGGCTCCAGCACCCCTGCGACCCAGAAGGATGAGCGGTTTAGATGATGGATGGATGGATGGATGGATGAAAAGGACTTATGGAGTTCTTCAGTGCACAGTGATGGTAAACAAGGCAAACAGGGAAACCAGTTGGTTGTATGTGTATGTTGGGGTCGTTAAATCATACTCAAACCTCCAGCACTTGAATCATTTTTGAAAAAAGTGCAATCTTTAAAAACGTTTTCGAAAGATTTGGGATACTGGTGAAGTAAATGTATTATTCTTGTATGTTTGATCATAAAGTATATCATGTGGCTTATTGTAAATCAAATCAATCGATTCTTTACAAAGAATTGCAATAATTATGGACTTCACTGAGCCTTAGGAGGTAAAGATAAGCTTTCATGCAGTACTGCTCTCACTGGCATAATGCCATCAGATAAAGCACTTTGGACATCCTCTTTCTCAGGATAGTAAGACCACCTTGTGCTGATGCTTGTTAATCTCCAGCTGAAGAAATGTGAAAGTACCCAGACCTGATCCAGCAGTTAAACTTGCAGTTTATGTTAAACCCGTCTGAAAAGCAAGTCTTCAGTATTGATGAGGAAAATTAGATCATGTATTATTTCTGTTTGGCTGATGTTTAAAAGAGACTGTCCACATCTCCCATCTCAACCACTACCGTCTTCAGCTGAGAGTAGAATTCAACTGTAACTTGGCCGTTTTCACGTCCTATACCTGCAATAAGAGAAGACAGAGAACGATCAGAAAACTCATATTTGGTTATGAATTTAAATGACATTATAAAGGTGTTTTACATCAGACGTTAAAAGGTACGCGTCATTATTCATCCCTTTGCCACCGATCTGGACATTTCTAAGACTGTCAGACTTTCCAGAGATAGATACAAGGGCATCATCAGCAGTCAAGTGCATATAGAACATATAATACTTTATCAAAGTACTTTGATCCTAACCACCTTCTGCACGTAAAGTGCTTAAGTATTAGAAATGGTGGCCTTTTCGGTTGAAAGAAATGAATTATTTTGCGTTCATGAACAAAAATAACCTTTAAATGCGGTCTGATGGCTTATACTTCTGAACAGTAGTCTCAGTTCCACTTCATTTGTAGGCCAAATTAGGCTTAGCAGTGGTAGTTTTACCTTTCAGAGTCAACTTGAAGAATTAAAACGGTAAAATTCGTACTTGAGAATATCACTGAGGTCCATTACCTGATGTTTTATATCCTCCAAAAGGCACCTCCACAGGGGTGATGTTGTAGTTGTTGATGAAACAGGATCCAGCCTGTAGATTCTCTATCACGCGATGGGCTCTCTGAATGTCTCTAGAGTGAGAACACACATAATAGAACATCTTAGTACGTCTTCTGCATTTACAATTACTAATCTTGTACACACTGACATTTAATTATGTACTAGACATCTTGTGTTTCCAGTATGGTACCCTTCTTAACCAACTATTACACTACCCAGCCAGTAATAAATCTAGCTAAACATACTTTACATTAAAGGGGAATTCAATCAATTTTTCAAAATTCGTGTATGTTACAGTGGTTGAGATACAGAGTCATTCAGGGTGGTTTGATGTGAAATGGATAATTTGTAGAGAAACATACCAGCTCCCGATGTCTACAATGCAAAAGTAGTCATTTCATTTACTATCCAAAACCACCAATGAACCTACATGTGTCTTTTGAGGTTTTTATGTAAATTTCATGATGGTAAAATGATAGTAAATCTGATTCTTTGGGGACTTTTATCCCTTTCAGGTATCCCTCCAGCTTGAATGTATTGAAATAAATTCATTAAAATACATTTTAGACCAAAAATATAATCCCAAAAGTGCTGTAAAACAATGTCTTAGGCATCAGGCTCTGTATTCATAACAATTTCCTGTAATAACTTTATGTGAGGGAGTTTTTAGAGACATTAAACTCCTCAGATGTCTGATTCCTATCACCACCACTGTGAGCAATTTTAACTCTAAGTTTCTCTAGAACAGAGAATTTCACATTAAACCACTCTGAATGACTTTGTTGATATGTTTATGCACACATTTTGAAAAATTGGTGGAGTTGCCCTTTAAGAACTAGTAAGGAAACAATGATGGTGGGAGCTGCGTACTGAGTAACTGGGCATTGAATTAAAGGAAAAGCATGTTTGTAGGTTACATCCATTTGCAGAGAAACAAAATATCTGTTTACAAGTGCAGTGCTATGCCAGCTAATTTTCTGACTATCTAGTTAGTTTGCAGTTACCTTTGAAAAAGACATTCACTGAATTAATTAATTTGCTTGTCCAAGTAAATAATGTGCTTGTTTGATGAACAAGGTTACTAAAAACAATTTACTTGGTGAAAACTCCAGCAGCGAGGCCCATGGTGGTGTCGTTAGCCCTCTGTAAAACCTCCTCCTCAGTATCAAAGGTCAGCACAGACATCACAGGCCCAAAGATCTCCTCTCTCACGCACGTCATGTCGTCTGTGCAGTTGTCTACATCCACATGATGAGGCAGAAGGACACAGAGAAATAGATTTGGCTTCACAAGATACTGAGGCATAAATAAATATCCTTAGGGCAAACAAGCGCATTATTTCATACTGCAGTATTACTAAATAACGAAATACAGACAAATTACAAATAAGGCAAAATAGCTGTGCTCCAAAAGCTAGGCTGTGGCCTAGGTGGGCTGCATTTCTAGAGCACCGCATCATCCAAGACCGTTCCAAGCAGACAGATCCTACATTCTGACAAATTTTCGAGAGTATCGTTCATGATCTTCTGTCATCCGTAATTCTTTGTTTTCTCTGATCTCATGAATGTTCAAGAGAAACGCCGACGGATAAAACCAACTACATATTGTTTAAAAAGGCCAGTAAAATTTACAGTAAGCTGTTTCTTTAGTTGTGTATCTGTTTAAGAGGGTAAACTCGAATGCGGGGTGTGAAATGCACCAGCTTTCGATGAGTTTAATGGTTTTTAGCTCGCAGGACAGCATTTAATTAATTAGAAACAAACTGTTTTGCCTGCCACGCCACATCAGTCACGTCAACATTTTGCTTTCTAGCTTATCCTTCATGTAGACACACTGCAAAAAATGGGATCTTGTCAAGTGAAGTGATTTTAAATTTAGTCAATATATCTAATATTTCCCATTTGGAGGGGTTGTGTGCTGATTATAAGATCATCTATCTTATTTCCAGACATTATTTACTTGATTTAGATAATTTTATCAAGTAACATTATCTCACTATACTGGCAGATAATTTTGCTAGTTTCAAGTACATTTCTTAAAACATACAATTATCTGCCAATAAAGTGATAAAATTACTTAAAACAAGTAAAACGTCTGGAAAAAATGTAAATAATCTTAAATTAAGCTTGCAATAATCTCAACAGGAGAAATATTAGATGTATTGACTATATTCAAGATATTTTTACTTGACAACATTTTTTGCAGAGTGATATTTTCTCCATTTGTGCACCAACTCCTTCCGTGATGTGGCAAAGTGGCCTTGGAGGGCTTTTTTGCGTGATGTAGTACTTAAGAGGAGCCTTCAGAAGACAGGTTTACTAAGGAGCAACCTTTCTCAGCTGCAGCCTTTGGAACGGAGCCAATATGTACGAACTGTACACCAGCTTCAATGGATGATACTTCAGGACTTCTGGTCCTTTGAGCAAACGCTGCCAATACTGGATCTTTACTTTGTATTTTGCAGAAAACACTGCTCATATTGGATTTTTATCAGCTCGATCAGTGTTCAGCCCTAGTCCCAGACAGTGATAAGTGATGTAGCGACATTGTCGTCATGACAGCTGAAATAAACGTTTGAACTCATTTGAACTCACCAAGCACACAGGGAGTCATGTAATATCCGTTTCTGAGTTTTGGGTCTGCTGGTGTGAACAGCTCTCCTCCACACAGCACTCTGGCTCCCTGACAAGAGCACAGTCAGTACTGGAGGCGTGACTTGAAATTTGAACTGCAAGAAATCAGACCAGGTCTTCATGTGCAGATGTCTGCTGTACCTCTTTCTTGCCCTGCTCCACGTATCCCAGCACTTTGTCCAGATGTGGCCGGCTGACTAGCGCTCCCATGCGGGTTTCCTCCAGAAGAGGGTCTCCGATCTGGATGGCTTTGGTTCGCCTCACCACCTCCGTCAAAAACTGGGGAAGAATCGGCCTGTGGACAAACACTCTGGTTCCGTTGCTGCACACCTACAAGTGAAAGAAATAAAGGAAGAAATGAATGGAAAGGGTTTAGACAAACAAATCTCAAACATGGCTTGCTTAACTGAGCAGATTGGCAGAGTAAGTGGACAGGACAATCCCGCTTTGACTTTCCATGGGAGTCCAGCAAGGTTGTGTTATCAGACAGCAGAGCACTGTTGAACATCAACATGGACACAGCATGAAAATACATGGGACACCCAACATCAAGTCTAATCTCCATATGAGCATCAAAATATCGCTGTTGTCAGAAGAAAACCTTGCAGCTCCAAACTGACAACTTTACAGGAGAAGGAAAAAACCTACTTCACTTTTAATGTAAGTCAATGGAACCAGACGTTTTTTCCAAGTCATTTGGGGTTGTTTCTTTTTATTCATTCATCATGAAATCTACAAACAATGTAAAGTGCAACAGGCATTTTCAAACTATGTCAAAAACTGAAATACGATAAAAATGGAGATACGACGTTTTGATCCGACAGCAGCGATGATCTCCATATGATAATCAAAATACGTTGGAAACCCCCAGTTGTATTGTTTTTCAGTTCACCAGAAGAGCAACAGACAAAATTGTTTAAAGAAGTTCGAGTACCTGGCCCTGAGACAGGAAGTTGGCCATGAGCGCCCCCCTGACGGCATTCTCCAGGTCACCGTCCTCAAAGATGATCAGGGGAGATTTACCACCGAGCTCCAGTGTTACTGGCTTCACTCCTTTGGAGGCCATCTCCATTATCTGTGGGAACACGCAAAGTCAGAAACATCCCATTCAACCTCCAAACTTCAAACAGTATGCTGGTGAGTTATTACTGTTAGCATACATTTGAGCGCGTGTTCACAGATTCAAACAAGCCGCCACTAAAGTATCAACAATATCCTGAGTCAAGTCTCGAATCAGCAAAAGCAAATCTGATATTTATTCCAAATAGTAATTCAGTCCAATGGCAAAATTCAGTTTTAACAAATGTTAACAAAAATGCTGCAATAAAACTGATGGATTGATCAGTTTCTGTTGTCCAAGTCCAAATTAGAAACCTCTGAAATCTGAGTCACAGCAGCTGATGAGTTTAAGTATGGCAGTACTACACCATCTGCTGTACAAATCTGAGATTTCATCAAAGGTACTTGTCAGTTAAATGTTTAAAATCCTATGAAGCCCCGGCAATTTTTCAAAAAAAGTTCAGTCCACAGTTATTATGGCTTTGACATGTTTTAGTTTAGCTTTTATTTTCTGAAAAGGAACAGTTTTTGTTTTCAATTTAGTTTTTGGTTTTTGTTTTATGGTCAATATTTTGTCTGAAACGGTCAGAAACTGTGCACAAAGAAATTGTAAGTTGGTCATTTCTTTACAATAAGTTTAATTATTTCAGCAGTGCCAAATTAGCACAACAGTGGACTACGCTCAGCTTTAAAGGCATAAAACCCTCACAATATATTTAGATTTATATAAATTAAATTATTTGGTTGACACTTTTCCAATGTGACAGACAGTAAAAGGAAGATTTGTTTGTTTGTTTGTTTTTTTAAATTGAACCCATAACTTTGATGTTGGAATAACACCATACTCTACCAATTCAGTTACAGGAATACACACTCTTAAAAAATAAGGTTCTTCAAGGGTTCTTTAGTAATGAACATGATTCTACAGAACCATGAACACTCAAGGAACCTTGTGCATGATTAAAAGGTTCTTTACATCATGAACGCGTTCTTCAAATTGATGGAGAGTGTGCTGTAGATGGTTCTATACAGAACCATTTTCTCCACTGAAGAACCCTTGAAGAACCATCTTTTTTAAGAGTGTACCTACTTCACATCAAAAAACGTACTTCAATCCTTCACATCTTGGTACCTTCTTGCCTGTAGGCACGCTCCCTGTAAAGGAGACCTTGGCCACAGAGGGATGATGGCAGAGCAGGGTTCCCGTCTCCTGAGCTCCCTGCACCACGTTAAACAGGCCCTCAGGAACCCCAGCCTGAGCATAGATCTCAGCCAGCAGCACCGCGCTCACCGGGGTCACCGGAGACGGCTTAAACACCATCGAGTTCCCTGAAGAAATAACAAGGTAGAGAGACACAAAACAGCCCAGTGGTCATCTAGAATCAAGCCCACTCTGACACACTTGCTATTTTAAAGCAATAGTTTAGAAAAATATCAAACTATTTCCCTCCCCAAATGGAGTCCATCACCCAAGCACTGGGCTAGACTGCATGTCTTTTGTTTTGATCAAGGTCTTTTTATTAAAGATTTCACAATATTCAAAAGACAAATAGTCCCATACCCCCAAACCCGCCTCCCCTTCAGACCAACATCAATAAGAGAAAGCTGTACAAATGCCAACATTATATAAAAACTGCGGTACTGTAACTTAAAATAAATGCATATTATGGAGTTACATTTTTGGCTTCCATTTGATCCACGTATGTCAGGACGGGTTGCCAAATCTCTGTACAGATCCTTGAAGTAAGTATCTTATCTTCTCTAGCCTGAGATACTGCATAACCTCTTTGATCCACTGAGAATAATTAGGGGGAAGAGGGTCCTTCCACCTAAGCAATATTAATCGCCTGGCCAGCAAAGTACAAAAGGCCAATATGTTGCATTTATAATTATTTAGTTGGGTATCTGGAGGTGCAACACCAAATAATGCAATATAAGGAGAGTAACTTATTGGTTCCTCCAGAATTTTAGAGAGAGGTATAAAAAATAGATTTCCAAACGCGATGTAATCTTGGGGCATGTCCAAAACATATGTGGTATTTTAATGAATATATTACTACTATAATCAATAGGAAATCCATAATCATATGCTTAAAAGTTGATTAACAAAAGTGTATTAATCCTCTCACTAAGGATAGGCCTGGCTATGTGTAAGTTAAGGGATTTTTGTATTGGAGAGTCCCTGAAGTTCAGAAGCATCTAGAAGCCAGTGTACTCTGTTGTAAGGACAAGCTGACCCCCAAAGAGTGAGGCAAGCTGACAAGGAGCCAGTTTAATAAGGCAAGAGCTAATTAATAGCCTTGAAAGGATGGGGGCGGCTTGGTACAGCCAAGCATGGAAAGTTTTATAAAATTCAAGGTCAGGTGCGGTTGGAAATAAGGGTTTCCAAATAAAGTGGAGAATCAGGAAATAATGGGAATCAAAAGGATATGGGACAATGTGAAAGGGAGGGGGCGATTACTTCATCGCCCCCAAACAGGATATAAAAAAGGATGTTTCTGTGATGTACTTTGCATTTGGTTATCTGGAAGAAGAAGAGGGCCTTTTCCTTCCTTCCAAAAGAACTCAACGGCTGAAGTCTTTTATTCAACTTTCATTTATTTTTGACTGAACTTTATTTCATTTTGCGTTTATGATGAGAACAAGCAATCAGATTTATTAAAGAACTGAAACATAGTTATAGAACAGATTAGTGTTTAATTATCCATATGTTGGGGCTCTGAGCGAGTGGGAATCGCACCTAGTCCCGACACATATGGCTGTTGTAAGAAGAAAACCTCGTATCTCCAAAATGGTAACTTTACAGGAGAAGAAAAAAACCTACTTTACTTTTAATGTAGGTCAATGGAACCAGACTTTTTTCAAGTCGTTTTGGGCCGTTTGTTTTGGTCCATTCATCAAGGAATTTACGCACAATGTGAAGAGCAACAGACGTTTTCAAATTATGTCAAAAAATGAAAAATTACAAAAATGGAGATACAAGATTTTCTCCCGACAGCAGCGATAAGTAGTGAACGTGCAGGGCCTTGCTTGTACCTATCACATGTAGAGTCCAAATTAGGTCTAATTTTGGATAGTCTAACTTTACACCAGTGAAGTCGATGTACTACCTTGCATTGTAAACTGCATGCCTAAATCATCACACCCCACCTCTAATCCTGTTGAGTTGTTAAGTACCTAATATAGTCCCTAATATACTCACTTATGTGGTTTCAGGCACTGTATGAAACACTGGTCTTATGAAAAAGACAAAAAATCCATGCTTTTTGTTTGTGCAATATGTCATTAAGTGTCACAAACTACTCCGCACACTTTGTGTTAATAATTTAAAATGCAGCTTGCATGAGGCAAAGAGGCAAGATATAACCTTCCATTCATAATTAGGTACATTAGCCTCTTAGCACCAGTATAAAACTATGGCTGCGTTCACATTACCAGGTCGAAGTGGCACAAATCTGATTTTTTGCTCTAATGTGACTCAGACCTGATGTTTTCAGAGCTGTGTGGACACGCAAATCTGATCTTTTTAAATCCGACCTGAGCCACTTTCATATGTGGTCCTAAATACGTATCCGATTTGTGGCCATGTGACCTTAATGTGACGCTCAGATCGGAATTCATGTGCTTTTTTCCACTGCGCGTGCGCCATCAATCAGCGTTACCATGGCAGCAGTGCCGAACAGAAGTTAAAGCCTGTAAACGATGGAAAAGCAGCTCTATTTCTCCTTCGTCTCGCTCTAATAATGAAGCTGAGAGCTGATCAGAGTTAATTATCTTCTCAGCGAAGCTCGTTCTGCTCGTTAGTTTGTGCTGATGATGAACGTGATTCATTCACGTGACGGTACTGAGTAGGATCTGCGCATGAGGGTCATTTCAGGACGCCGGTTCGTTCACATTAATGACAGATTTGAATCACTTACCTAAACGAGTGTGAAACATCGTGTCAGAGAGATCGGATTTGAGCAAAAAATCGGATTTGAGCAACGAGGCTTGTAATGTGAACGTAGCCTATGCAACCGTGTCTTGGCTGATCAACTGCTTTTGGGTGAGGGGAAAAGTGTGTAAATGTGATATTATGCCAAACTACTCCAAAAGCTTAATTTGTGGACAGATGTTTTCATACCACAGGCGATAGCTGGGGCTGATTTCCAGGCAGCGATCTGAAACGGGTAGTTCCAGGCTCCGATTCCCACACACACCCCAAGAGGCTCTCTGCGTGTGTAAGCAAACGATCCTCCTGGTAACTGAACATGCTGCCCTAAGAAAGGTAACCATTACATGCATTAACATTATGTGCACAACAACAGGGACCTACAGCATATGAACAAGACATTTAACAGGGTTTGCCGTTGCACTTACAGTAGTATATCCATCATTTAGACACTACAACAACTAAATAGCATGCATTTCTAACCCAAGGCTCCCAGACAGTAATGATACATGATAACTCACAATCTAATTTATGAGCTCCACCTACCTTGTAGGTTCCCTGTATCGGAGTACAGTTATACATTGTAGCACATTTGTTGCACAGCCCCCCTTTACCCCAAACATGACTGGTCAGTTTCTGACCACAGTACAGCTGCTGACCAGATATTATTTGGGTGGGTCAGTGTCACTTAGATGTGGGCGATACGACATATTATATCCAAACATTTTCATAATACACGATATCTCGTTTTTTGAGATTTAGTAAGTTGGAACAAATAGAATCTGTAGTGCCACATATAAAAAGCTATAATAACAATAATAAACCTACAACTACAATGATTTTGATATGTTTTATAATCTGCACTGCAATAAAATACCAATTAAACAGGCCTGATGCTCACTTTACAATGAAACATGTTCAGTGTTCTCAGGAAAGCATAGTGTGACTTATTTAATCATGACAACAATAAAATATCATCATATCGTTCAGCCCTAGAGCACTGCTAGGATTGGACCACCATCCAAAAATATCCAGCCACGAAAAGCTCTGTGGTCAGAAACTGACCACTGATGAAGGACCAAATGATGGCTAACATGAGCATCATGAGCTACCATCTCTAACTGTACACCAGCAATGTGAAGCTACATGGGAGGGGTTTCCAATAAAGTGACCAGTGATAGCATCCATCTAAAAGATTATATTAAATAGCAATATCACACTCAGACAGCTAACCAACCTGACATATTGGTGGCCAGCCCTGCAAAATACTCAATGCACAGTCGGGCCGAGTCCACGTCCAGTCGAGCTTCGGTGATGGACTTGCCATTGTTGACCACCTCAACTTCGGCAATGTCTTCTCTTCTTTTCTATCGTGAGAACAAACAGCAACACTTTATTTAAAAGCGACCTAATTGAGGGCCTTATAACACATATGCATTAAATAACATATTTAAAAAGCAAGACTTCAGTATTTATGAACAGCTTATGTCAGTATTTGCAATACATAACATAAATGCCATATAGAAAATGGCATTGTTTTGACATAAGTGTCAAAACAATGTTTATGTAAAAATTACACAACATGTAAAACATTACAAGCGTAAAATTAAAGAGATATTGCTTTTACCACTGTTACTAAGCATCATTCCCAAAAAATGGAGCTTAAAAGGCAGAGACCTCATTTAAAACATACACTGACCAGCTGCTTCATTTAACCCACATCCTTGTTTCAACACTCATTGTCCATTTTATCAGCTCCACTTACTATATAGGTGCACTTTGTAGTTCTACAGTTACAGACTGTAGTCCATCTGTTTCTCTGCATACTTTGTTACCCTGTTCTTCAGTGGTCAGGACCCCATAGAGCAGGTATTATTTGGGTGGTGGATTCTCAGCACTGCAGTGACACTGACGTGGTGGTGGTGTGACTGCTGAAGAACAGGCTGAAAGGGGGCTAACAATATATGCAGAGAAACAGATGGACTACAGTCTGTAACTGTAGAGCTACGACGTGGGGAATGATGCTACTTGAGCTTTAAGATATTTTATGAACTAAATAATACTGTATTAACCTAAAAACCTTTGGCGTCTCATAAATACTGATATAAGCTGTTTACAAAATGCTTAAATATTGCTTTTTAAATGTTATTCAATGCTTATGCCTGCATTATGAAGTCCCAGTGGGGCCTTCAAATAACATTTTATCAAACAAATATAGTAGGCAAGATAAGCAGTGGGATAAATGATGCTTAAGACGGCTCTGCATTGAACTGAACTTCAATACAATACTTGCTGAAACAGGATTACTTATCTCACTGATATGACAGAGGGGCTTCAGGAATAGAGATTCGAAGGGTAAAAATCTCCCTAGAAATTGTTTTAGCAATAAAATTTCTTGTTCATGGAGAGTCATTTTCCCTCCACTCAGTGCCATACACTGTTCCAGAACCTTATACGCTGGAATTGAGACAACAAAGACATTTTTTATCTAGATGTCCTTTAGCTGAGCTCACCTCAATCAGTCTGGCCGCTTCCAGCATGACCCTGGCTCTCTCCATGCCGGCCATCTTTCTCCACGCTGTGAAAGCAGAGCTAGCGCTCTTCACAGCCTCATCAACCTGGGCTGCTTTGCATGGTTGCAGCTGGCATAGTACACGTCCTTCACACACAACACAGAAAACCACATCAATTATGATGCTCTTCCACTTAAAGGTCAGTCAGTGATCCGCTCTTGTGAACTGAACAAGCAAAGGACCAAAGAGCACCTGGTCACATGAGTCCCAGACAAAGTCCAGTTGAGCAATGAGACACTAATCATTTATTTTAAACAGTCTGTAACGAATGGTTACCTGTTGCGGGCTCATAAACTGGCTCCAAACCCGTCACATCGCTGAGCTCCACCCTGCGGCCGCCCCAGAAGTTGAGGGGGTCTTTTATCTGCATGGTCCCTGAAGATGCTCTCCTCAACAGGGTGAGAAAAGCAGGACCACCAGGGCAAGGGGTCAGCAAGGAGGCCAAGAGGTGCATGACTGGGGGCCAAAAGTGCACTTTGGACACCTTGCAATGACATTTAAACATTTTTTCCTCATCTAGCTTAAAGGGGAACTTCACCAATGTTTCAGAATTCCTGAATAATTCAGTCTTTGAGATTAATTGGTTTGGTGTGAAATGGTTGATTGTAGAAACTCAGATTTCTTTACAGTGGTGGTGATGGGAACCAGGAGTCACCATGACTACAACACAGATATAGCCATTTTATTTACTATCTAGAACCACCAGTGAACCTACATGTGTCTTCTGAGTTTTTATATGTGATGATAATGATGGTAAAACAGTCATAAATGTGAAAAAAAGTACATTTTTATTGGGGACTACTTTGCCTCACAACAGCCTCTGCCTTGAATGGATTAAAATAAATGGATGAAAATACATTTTAAGCCAAACTTTATCACAAAACTATCGTAAAACAGTGTGTCAGGCATCAGGCATTGAATTCATAACTATTTCACGTAATCACTTTCTGTGAGGGAGCTTTTAGAGGTGGACGTCTGGTTCCTACCACCACCACTGTGAACGATTCTGACTTGGTAAGTTTCTCTAGAACAGAGCATTTCACACCAAACGACACTGAACGACTCTGTTAACATCTCAAACATTAAATTATGTAGAATTTTGGAAAAATCGGTTAAATTCCCCTTTTACCGCACAGTTTGCAGTCCTGTGAGGTTAATAAAGACAGCGTCATTGTGCAACAGCCAATATGTAGCGTTAATGAATGGCTTTACAGTCAAGACGACTCTTAACTAAACTCTGTATAAAGTAGTCCACTGGTCAGATTAGACGTTTGACATGAGCAATGCACGGACAGACTTACTCAGCTCTGCAGTAAATGGACGGAACCGGACCGAAACCCTGCAGATTCTGGAAAGATTCCTCGTTTGTTCATTTACTTTCTACTTTCTTCGCAAGTAAACACTCTGCGGCCATGTCCTTTGGCTGGGGGCGGGGCGTATGGAGCGGCGCGTTTTGATTGGCTGTGGTGGGAAACGTCATTTAAAGAGTCCGCGAAAAAGGAGATGCTCAACTTATTTTTATCTTGAATTGTTGTTAAAACGAATAAAAGGTGCAAAGGTGCATCAAATACCGAATTTCACCAAAAAATTAGAACAACTACTTGTAAAACTGGCTGAAATATAAAAAAATAATTGTAGTTTTCGCAGCAGTTTTGTTGCCGTGATAAAGAATTTTAGACCCGTGAAATATCAATAAAATGCTGCTTTAAAAACGTGAATCCTGTTTACCTCAGGTTGAACCTAAATTTGTTTAAAAAATGAAATAAAAATTATGGACCTGAAAAAGTGTGGAATGAAAAAAAATAAATAACACGATTGTGGCCTTGTTTTGGTGTTCTCTTCAACAGCGCCATCTAGCGTACGGACTCTGACACTGAACATCGAGTGCCTTTTCCTCGCTGATCCCCTCACTTGCTTTGATGCAGCAGGTTATAATTAAAGAAACCTTTGAAATCCGTCTTAAAACGGGCGAAACTCTGGATAATTTAACTCTGGGGGGATGTTTGCGTGAAAAAGGTAATTTGCACGTTATTAAATTTGAGCAGAACTGTCTGAAACCTGCATTACCAAATCTGGCAACCACAGTTCACTAACATTTTTAGTTTTAATTCCATGCTGTTTATTAGCTTTTTAATTTTTTAGTTAAGGCTCACACTCAGTAATCAGTAAAGGGAATGGTTCTATTTAGAACCATGAGTTCTACATAGAACCATTTCATGCTTAAATGGTGAAATGGTTCCCCTAAAAAGGTTCTTCTATTATGATGTCAAACTTGTGACAATAAATCTCAATCTATAATAATGCTATGGAAATATGAAACTTTAATCTTCTAATTTGATGTTTCATTTTCTTCTGATTCTAAATAAATACTTCTGATTTCTTGTATAACTGTGTTTTATCACCTGTCTGTAAAGCACTTTGAGCTGCCACCGGCATGAAAAGTGCTATATAAATAAAAATTATTATTATTATTATTATTATTATTATTATTATTATAGAAGGACCCCTTTTGGTACTATATAGAACCATTTTCAGAAAGGTCTACATAGAACCATACACATTCATCAATCTGAAGAATGATTTCTCCATGCATTAAACCATTTAAGCATGAAATGGTTCTATATAGAAGTCATGGTTTCAAACAGCACCTTTCCCTTTACTAAAGAACCATTGAAGAACCATGTGGTTTAAGTGTGTAGTCAACATTTGAGTTGGATGCGCTCTGTAGACTGCTGACTGATGGGTAATTAAAACCAGGGCTGGGATATAACAGAATACAGTCATTGGGAGTAAATATTCAGAATACAGAAATTAAGTATCTGTATTCAGTCCAAGTTACATGTGTAAAGGCACTATACAGAACTTAACATTTTTATTTGAATACTTTTAGAATACTTAGCCACTCAATTTAATATATATATATACACACATGTGAAGTTCCAGCTAAAGCCTAAGCAGACTGATAAATCAATGTGATGATCAGTTATTAATCTCAGTGTTACTGAGCTCTGCTAAAGCCTGAGTAGACTGATAAATCAATGTGATGATCAGTTATTAATCTCAGTGTTACTGAGCTCTGCTAAAGCCTGAGTAGACTGATAAATCAATGTGATGATCAGTTATTAATCTCAGTGTTACTGAGCTCTGCTAAAGCCTGAGTAGACTGATAAATCAATGTGATGATCAGTTATTAATCTCAGTGTTACTGAGCTCTGCTAAAGCCTGAGTAGACTGATAAATCAATGTGTTGATCAGTTATTAATCTCAGTGTTACTGAGCTCTGCTAAAGCCTGAGTAGACTGATAAATCAATGTGATGATCAGTTATTAACCTCAGTGTTACTGAGCTCTGCTAAAGCCTGAGTAGACTGATAAATCAATGTGATGTGAGGAAGCTTTTAGAGGTGGACGTCTGGTTCCTATCACCACCACTGTGAATAGTTCAGACTCGGTAGGTTTCTCTAGAACGGAGCGTTTCACACCAAACCACTCTGAATGACTTTGTTCACATATCAACCATTCATTTGTGAAGACGTTTTGAAATATCAGCAGAATCCCCTTTTTAATGTGTGATATCACAGGTTTTCTGGAAGAGCTGAGCTGAGCATCGCAGTGATTCCAGTAAATCTAGTCCCCTTATGATCTAATCTGGTTGCGCAATTTCCTTCCACAGACTGTGGTTGAATATGTGTAGTTTCCTACACTGGCCTTGTACAAGGGTGCACTGGAACATTTGTCCTTCAGTGACATCCCACAATGCATCTCAACAATAGAGAAAAACATTGGGCTTCATTCACAACTGTTTTTAAGAAGAAATGTCTTCTTAAAACCCATTACGAAGTTTTCACCACGATTCTGACGTTCACCAGTGTTTTCTTATTTTGGATTTGTCCTTAGGTAAGAACAGACTCTACACACACTCAAGAGCACAAAGACCTTGTTCAGTCTGCCAGCCCAAATCCAATTTTTGGATTATCCACATTGATTTTTTGATAGTCTGGACAGCAAAAAATCACATGAAAACCTGATTTTTGCAAGTTGGAACCAAACCACATTGGTTTGATATGCAATTTCAATCAGATTTTTACAGATGTGTGTCAGTCTGGACGCTCTGGCTGCTCAAATCAGATTTCAATGTGCCTTTTGCGCCACTCTCAATGCAACAGACAAAGATGATGTGCTGGGATTGAAAAGAAACTAGAGCTGGTTTATGAGGAGCCTGGCCACTTCCTATTTCCCCCGTTATATCAAAAACAGGACTGCAAAATACCAGAGGGCCCCTGCGAGTGAGTCCTCAATGAATGGGAGTGAATGGAGCTAAACGGATAAAAACGAAAAGTTAAAATAGTTTCTAATCACTCGCCCAGAACTTTACTTTTAGAAAGTAGAAGGATGTATCCGGTGTCGACCAGAGAAGGATGGGTTCCTCTTTTGATTCTTGGTTCCTCCCAAGGTTTCTTCCTCCTTGCCACCGCACCATTGGCGATATAAATAAACTTTGACCTGACAGTGATTCTCAACAATGGAGAAAAACATTGAGCTTCATTCGCTATCCGTTCTTAAGAAGAAATTTCTTCTTAAAACCCACTTTTCATGAAGATTCTGACGTTCACCAGTGTCTCTTATTTTGGATTTGTTCTTGGGTAAAAACAGAATCTACACACACTCAGGACCACAAAGGTGTGAACAATTATGTGGTTAAAGAACACGTCAGGAATCTGACGTAGACTTTTTACACAAACCATGTACCTGAGTTAAAGTAGAGATACCCAAGGTAAAATATTACTCCAGTAAAAGTAGAAGTTCCTCCCTTTAGACCTCCACTTGAGTAAAAGTACAAAAGTATTTGCCTTCAAATGGACGTAAGTATCGAAAGTAAAAGTACTGAAAGATTAATTATGGCTCTAATGTGCTATTATCATTTTTGTAACAAGACGCTGCTTCATCAACTCATTTTAGGTGAAAATACTCCAGTGTCTCTCTTAGTAAACCAGTCTTTTAATAGAATGTCATTAATTAGTGACGCTGATGTCTATTAAAATTATCATAAGCACAAAACACTGAAGGCAAACAGTTTCCATCAGGTAGAACTGAGTGGCTCTGAAATCACTTTTTACAAACAAGCAAAGTTTAGTTTAAGATTTATTTGAACTTAGTTACAAGTTTAAGTTAAATAAAAACTTTAATCTCAGGTTCACAAATGAGTTTCCTTTACTAAACTGCATCTGTAGGTCTCTGTTCATAAACATAAAGTAGCCTAAACTAATTTACTATAAAATGAAATATTGTTTGTATAAATTCAGAATAAAGACACGTCAGTCATAACTGCATATGAGTACATATTTCTATATTGTGGTCTATTTATACAAAGTTAGATTAGTTCATCATTTATGTTGAATAGACTCTCCCAACATTTTACGCTGCTGCACTGACATTGAACCGTGTGCTGCACTGGGTCGGTATGACCAACAGGTCAAAACAAGCTCAAAACAAAGTGACTGCTGTGCCCTGATTGGTGCTCTTGCTTTGCGCTTCTTTCGTTTTCACGTCACGTTTTTATAAACACATAAACCAAAAGGAACGACAGATTTCTCATTATGTAGTGGAGTAAAAAGTGAGATATTTACCTTGAAATGTAGTGGAGTGAAAGTAAAAAAATCGCCCAAAATGGAAAAACTTAAGTAAAGTACAGATACAAGTACAGAACTACTTAAGTACAGTAACGAATTGCATTTAATTCGTTACTGTCCACCACTGCTTTCCTCCACTTTCTCAAGAACACATTTAAGAGCAAACTTAGTAAGGTACTGGTGAATGAGGCCCATGTGTCCCAGAATGCGGTGCATCCCCTCAACGGAGTGTGACCCTCCCCCACGCCTCCCTCCCGCCAAAAACCCTTTTTTTAAACTGTGGAAGGCGGAGTCATCAAGGGTGTAGGGTGCAGGGCGGTAATGTGTAATGTGACGCGCCCCGCTGCGCTGCGAGGAGGGGAGCTGCGTTCGCGCTTACTGCAAGCATGGCTGGCGACAGTGAAACACGGCTCAACGGGCAGGCGGACGACACCGACACCGTCAAACAGCCTTTTCTGATCGGTGTTTCGGGCGGCACCGCCAGCGGAAAGGTTCGTTCTCCATCCCGGACCGTGTCGGTTTTTTTTTGTGTGTTTCTTTTTCTCCTCTAACCTATTTTCATTGTTCGCTCCGGCGCCACTCCGACCGCGTGGCTTTGTGTGTGTGAAGTTTATCAGAGGAGAAAAAGCTGGAAGAGTCCTCAGAAACATCCAGCTTCAGGACCGAAGTCCATATTCGCTCTTGCTTTACAGTCAGTTTTAATCCGAGACCCGTTCATTCATTACTTTAATGCTTATGAGGGGAAATGGGCTTGACGTCAGTCACTCATCTCCACGTGGCACGGAATTAGGTTTCCTCATTTACTTTAATTTGGTCTTGTTTTCTTGTTTTATCTCTTATTTAACCTTTTCCGTGATTTATCGTTCTGCCTATCCGACATTTAACCGAATTACTTTGTGTTTTGTTCCGAACCGGATGTTCCAGGTGGTTGCTAATGTCGTCACTGTGCTTCTTTTGTTTATGGCGCAAACAAATCGTTCAATTGGACCCAAAACAGTCTAGTTCGCTGCTTTTAATGAGGAAATAAATGTGGGCTAAACAGTCGAGATGTCCAAACCGAAACAGCACCGAAACGGTAAATATCGTCATATTGCCGTTACAGGGATTGTTTACATGGTGAGGTAAACTGCGAGTGACGTAACTCAAACCGCTCTCCAACAAAGTGACGTCAGCTCTTATCACTATTTTTTTTTTTTAACGCAAAATTTCTGCATAATTTAGTGGTTGAGATGTAAACAGAGTTTTTTTGCCCTCTATAGAGAAACTTACCAAATCAGACTTCTTTACAGTGATGGTGATAGGAACCAGACGTCTACAGTGAATTTGTGAACCCACATGTCTTTTTAATATACTTCTGAGTTTATATATTTGATATGAAGTGTTGATAATGGTAAATAGGCTCTATATTCCTGTGAGGGAGCTTTTAGAGGTGGACGTCTGGTTCCTATCGCCACCATTGTGAACAGTTCTGACTCGGCACGTTTCTCTACAACGGAGCGTTTCACACCAAACCACTCTGAATGACTTTGATTACATTTTAACCATTTAATTATGCAGAAGTGGTCAAAAATCTGTATCATTCGCTTTTAATGCATGCACACTGTCTCGGCTAGCTGTGCCTGAATAATGTAATCGGTCTGAATAACGCAGGCTAATGTTTTTATCTCCGGTCAGTGACCTCGCTGAGGTTCGACCCAGATTAGACTCGGAAGGCTCTGCTGGTTTTTGGCTGAGGGCCCTGCTGTCTAAGAGGAGAATTCCCTTACATGGAGGGCTACTCAACCCCTCCCCCTGGTGTTGAATCATACCATGAAGCAGTGCCCACATGGCATTTGTGGACAAGACAAGCCGTCCCGCTTGGCTAAAATGCAAATGGCTCTGACCTACAGTGTGTGAATGTCAAACTGGAGAACTTTTTAGTTGTGTTGTTGCTTCTTGCACAGGTTGCAGTAAAATTAATTTAGGTTTTTATGTTGTTTTAAGAAATGAAACCAACTAAGTGACAATAAATAGGAAGTAAGAGCTGAACAAGTGAGGGAAAGGAAGCAGACACAGGCCACACACAGAGAAAACTGAAAGCAAGTCTGAAAAAAAGATGCATTTTCATGCCCTCACTATGATTATAAGTTTTCTAAATAATAATCAGACCACTGTACTTTCCTCGTGTAATGACCATGTGGAGTCATAAACCCATGTTGTCCTCTTGCAGTCTTCAGTATGTGAGAAGATTATGGAGCTCTTGGGCCAGAATAAGATTGACCATCACCAGCGGCAGGTGGCCATCCTCAGCCAGGACAGTTTCTACAGAGAGCTCACTCCAGAGCAGAAGGCTAAAGCTCTTAAGGGCCAGTTCAACTTCGATCACCCAGGTAATACTGCAACTGTTAACTCTTATGATGCGGTAATACAGTACCTCCCTTGAAGGGGAACTACACTGAATTTTCAAAATTCACTGTGGAGAATATTTCCAACTCTGATTTCTTTGCAGTGGTGGTGATGGCAACCGGGGTCACAATATGCGTATATGTTATAGATATAGATATATATAGATATATAGAAAAAGTGCCTCTCAATGTCCTGCATGTAGCTCTGCGCCATACATTGGTTAAAAAACTACATTTCAGGTCAAAAATGATTGTACCATCTCATGTAGTACCCTTCTGTGAGGGAGCTTTTAAAGGGGTTTAACTCCTTGGACGTCTAGTTCCTATCACCACCACTGTGAACAATTCTTCTTAACTATTTAAATATGCACTTACATACATTTCGAAAAGTCGGTGGAATTCCCCTTTAAGGAAAAAAGACCTGAGGTGCTTCAGCCCACGATCGACCTCAGCATTCTCAGTTACTAGTCATGCTATTTGAATGACTCAGTGTGATTTATTTTGCAACCCCACCCCCACAGATGCTTTTGACAATGAGCTCATTATGAAGACTCTTCATGACATCATGGAGGGGAAGACGGTCCATATTCCAGTCTATGATTTTGTAACCCATTCCAGGTTGGTTCCACTGTTAAGGGTTCTTTGCATCACGAAATTGTTCTTCAGATGGAGAATGTGCTGTATGTGGTTATGTATAGAAACGTTTTGAAAAGAGTAGCTACAAGTCCAAATGTAGCAGATGTATGGCTTTCACAGTCAATTGTTTTATATCAAAATTGCAATTTGAAATTTTCCAGTTGCAAGAGTTTTAGGAATATACAGTATTTAACACACAAGTTTTTCCAGTTTTTTATTCCAGGCCTTGTGGCCTCAACACCACCCCGCCATCTCTGGGGGACAAATTTATTTTATGAAGTTTATAATTATCTGCTTATACATATCTGCATTCAGTATCTTTTAAAGACATGTATATACATTTATACCTTATTTAGCTCAGTTCTAGATATTTAGATATTTCCCCCATCCAGCCCATACTTAGATAGAAATGAAAGCAAAATATCGAAAATGATATCAAAGTATTACACAAAAAACCACAGCAATGTTGTTCTGAGTTTTAAGTGGGGAAATTAAACCTAGCAAACTCGCATCTGGCTCCCCACATTCAGCGTTCAAGCCTGAATCTTGAAAAACCGATGTGGTGGTCTAATTGAGGGAGAAAAAAAGACCTGGAGCTTAATTTTATAGAAAATAATCACATTTTAAACGCAGCGTTGGTCAGAAAAATCACATTTTATATTCTCATCTAAAAATACTGCTCATTTTTGGCCCACAACTCATTCACTGCCTTCTTTATGAATTATAATGACTCTAATGATTGACTGGCTAAGAGCTTTCTACATGAATGTAATGGATGAATGTTCCTCCACAGAAAAGACGAGTACGTGACGCTGTACCCAGCAGACGTGGTTCTGTTTGAGGGCATCCTCATGTTCTACATGCAGGAGATCCGGGACCTTTTTCAAATGAAACTGTTCGTGGACACGGACCCAGACACGCGTCTGTCCCGCAGAGGTAGAGACGTTTCATGGGGGGAAAAAGTCCCCTTTTGAATTTTTTAGCTTAACCAGCTTAGCAGGCTGAATTTGAGGATCTGCTAACCGAATCTGTTTGTGTGTAGTTCTGCGGGACATCAGTGAGAGAGGCAGGGAGCTGGAGCAGGTTTTGTCTCAGTACATCACTTTTGTCAAGCCGGCGTTTGAAGAATTCTGTCTCCCGGTGAGTTTTAAGGGTGGATTGTATGATTGTGTTTATCGTTATTGTAATTATGTCAAATTTTGTCACATTTATGCTTTTCTGAGCACAGTCGTCACTCTTTAAATACAACGGTAACACTTTACTGTAGGGTGCTGTTTATAGAGCTACATGACACCTACATAAACTAGTCACTATGACAACTGACATAACCCTAAATAAATGCTTATAAATGCTTATTTCAATAGGCGTCATCTGTCATAAAGACTACTTTAGCAGATTTTGATCAATTGCCAAGTGTAGCCTTTATAGCGAATAACGGCTATTGGAATAAGCATTAATAAACATTTATGTATGGTTATGTCAGTTGTCATGACAAGCTTTTGTAGGTGTCATAAAGCCTTATGACCAGCACCCTAAAGTACAGTGTTACCAATGAAACTGACCAACTGCATGTTTCATTACAAAGAGAGCATCATTAGTTTTGTTTAATTGGATTTAGTGCAGCACAACTAAATATCGTCACACGTATTGTGCATTATGAAAAGGTGTCAGAAGTATCATGATGTTATTTTTGCCGTATCGCCCACCCCTTTGAGCTCCTCTCTTCTAAGCTCTTGCTTCATTTTGCTGCCCTTACATAAAACTCATGAGCTAATTATGTGCATTTTATTTTGCAGACAAAGAAATACGCTGACGTCATCATCCCACGAGGAGCAGACAACCTTGGTAAGTAGCTTAATTTGAAAGACACTAAACCTGGACCTAATCGTGAGATTTTGTAGCCTTGGCCAGATGTGATCTTGTAACAAGTATGCACGTTACCAGAGTTTTCGGTTGGCACACTGGTGTTTTTAATTGCTTTAAAATGATGTCAGACTCAGGAAAACATCCTTCACATGTCCTCATTAAAGAAGGCCGAGAGGAAGACGTCGTGTTCTGAGACACATAAGCTGGACGTCCGTCCCACCGCCGTCTTTTAAAGATCAGAGCATAAACTTCGTCTCCTCTGCAGACCAGTTTCTGCTCCGCCATGTTGAACGGTATAAACTTTCACTATGATGCGATGAACATGATCAGAACATACTTAAACTTTCCGATAGGGAATGTAATCAGATACAGGCGTTTACACGGTTATTATTCTTCTATTTAACTGATTATTTACAGGATTACCCACCTCATTCAATCGGACAAAACCATATTCTGAATTTTCCAATTGAGCTATTAGTTGGATTATTAACGGGCTACCAGGCTGCATGTAAACGTGGCTAGTGTTGGGTAAGGAGGAGGTTGGAACCAAACCGTGAAGGACAGTCAGTCTCCAGGAGGAGGGCTGGTGACCACTGTCCTAAAGTGTCAGAAACCACATAAGCTGGTCAGTTTGAAATCACTTAACATTTCGACATGATCTAGGCGTGCAGTTAGCACAGTGCTAATTGGTACGGTACAAGCTTCCATGACTTATTAGCTTTATTAGCTTTGAGGCTCCAGTGTTAAAACCAAAGAACCAACCACGGCTTGGCTGATCCACTACGTTTGGGTTAAGAGGGGAAACTCTTCATTTTTCTCAGTTCATCTCAGCTGTTCATTTTTTTACTTGTGTTTTGACACTACAAGGTTAAATTCTGTGATGCAGCATTTTAAAACCTGTTTTTTTTCTTTCCACAGTGGCAATAAACCTCATCGTGCAGCACATTCAGGACATCCTGAACGGGGGGTTCAGTAAACGACAGAGCGGCTACATGAACGGCCACGGGACGCCCCGACAGAGAAAGCCGTCCGAGTCCAGCAGACCCCACTGACCTCCATGTGGCCCTTTCCTTCTGCGTAGGACGGGGCTGGACTGTGTAATAAAATTCAGCGACCCTTTATTGAATGGAAGAGCGGGGATGCTAGAGTTGAAAGGCCTTTGTGGTTGATATGACTTGCGTTTTAAGTATGTTGTCATTTGTTACTGTGGTGGTTATGTTTGCTTTTACCAATTTTTTTTTTTTTTTTAAATTTTTTCCCAGATTAAGCTTGAAAGTGCTTTCTGTTTTCAAGAAAGTTAAGTGACATGCACGACTGTTGTGGTCATTGTCCTTATCTGCTTTGATAAGTGTTAGAAAATAAATGAATGGTGTGGTACGCGCTACCAGTGCTTGCTGAGGTGGGCTGCTCGAGCAGCCCTATAAACTTGAATTTAACTCAGGAAAAATGCTTGGATCCTTTGTATAGAGGGTTGGTTTCATCCTCCACGCTGCATTTCATATGTTTCCCACTGTTTGTGAAGTCTGTATGTGGCTGAATGGTAGTGCTGTCCTTTTATTACATTTTAACTGTTTATTACTCTGTAGATGGATCTACTCACCCTTTTTAACCCTGGGTTTCTTCAATTAGGTACATCCAACAATATATGATGCCTCATACTTGCCTTCTGTGCCAATTCAGAGATTTAAAATTGGCCTTTCAAGGTCCTTACACCATGCAAGTGTTTCACCACCAAATATGTGTTGAGAATCTATGAGCTTTACAGTGTTATAAGTGGCTGCACTCTTAGCACACCCTGCAAATACTAATGACATAATAACACTAGGATTACACCACATGTGATTGTGTTTAACACTAAAATGAACACTTGCCTAAACTGAAATTGGTATTTTATATATATATACAACTCATAGTTGATAATAAACACCTCGAAAAATGAGGATAATATCAGGGAATTGTGTAAAAATCTTAACATGTGCACGTATTAGTGCTCACGACTGAATACTTGAATTGTACACTCTTAGAAAAGATGGTTGTTCAAGGGTTCTTTAGTATGGGGGATGGTTCCATTTAGAACCATGACTTCTACATAGAACTGTGTGCGTGTTTTAAATGGTTCTGCTGATGGAGAATGTTTTGTATGTGGTTGTAAATAGCACCATAAAGAGATCTGCTATTGATAAAATATTAAGTGTGTAGCCCTTTTTGGTGCTATATAGAACCATTTTCAAAAAGGTTCTATAGAACCATATACCACACAGACTACATCAATCTGAAGAACCATTTCACCATGTAAAGAACCAATTAAGCACGACATAGTTCAATATTTAACTCTAATTAAATCTTTTGTTAAGAGTGTAGTTACTGGAGTTCGACTTGAACATGTTTTTTATTATTATTATTTTTGATAGATAGATTTTGTGATCGATTTTAGGTTGTATGTGTGACGTTCTCAAATGCTGTGAAATGCTGAAAAGAATAAAATGAAACAAAATAAAAGTTCTTTTTTTCTATGAACGGAGTCGCTACACGTGTCGTGTTATTCCTCATAGTGACCACTAGGGGCTCCCTCGCCGCGATTCAAGCGCTCTACGTTTGCGTAAGCCGAAGTGAATAGTAGATCTACGCACAAGCCTCTCCAACATCGATGTGAGTTTACGCATAATACGCAAAAACGCCAACATGGGGGTAGGTTTGCTACTCCGGTTTTCAGTGTCTTTTGCTGCTTTTAATGAAGTCCAAAACGATTAATGTACATTTTTTCTTTATTTAGAAATTCGGGCTGCAGTTTAAAGCAACGTTGGAGAACATTACGAATGTGAGGCCCGACGGAGACGACTTTCGCTGGTACTTAAAGGTAGAGTCTGTGCTGTGTTAGCAGACAGCTAGCTAACTGTTATCAGGCTGAATGTAAACTGACAGCTTTCGATATGCATCATTTGTAGCTGTTTTGTGGGTTATATTCATATTTAAAAGTAAACATAAGCGGGTAGTAAGTAGTTTTGTAGTTTACTACATTTATACTAGGCTGAAATTGGCTTCTTACTCACCACATTCTCAGACTCCTGTTCTACTGCAGCTGTAGCTGCACCCACCGGCCAAACCTAACACCACCTCCTTGTTTCTGCGCTCATTGTCCATTTTTCAGCTCCACTGACCATTTAAAAGCACTTTGTAGTTCTACAATTACAGACTGTAGTCCATCTGTTTCTCTGCATACTTTGTCACCCTGTTCTTCAGTGGTCAGGACCCCCATGGACCCTCACAGAGCAGGTACTATTTGGGTGGGGGGTCATTCTCAGCACTGCAGTAACACTGACGTGGTGGTGGTGTGTTAGTGTGTGTTGTGCAGGTCTGAGTGGATCAGACACAGCAGTGCTGCTGGAGTTTTTAAACACCTCAGTGTCACTGCTGGACTGAGAATAGTCCACCAACCAAAAATGTCCAGCCAACAGCGTCCTGTGACCACTGATGAAGGACTAGAGGATGACCAACACAAACTGTGCAGCAGCAGACGAGCTATCGTCTCTGACTTTACATCTACAAGGTGGACTGACAAGGTAGGAGTGTCTAATAGAGTGGACAGTGAGTGGACGTAGTGTTTAAAAACTGCAGCAGCACTGCTGTGTCTGATCCACTCAGACCAGCACAACACACACTAACACACCACCACCACGTCAGTGTTACTGCAGTGCTGAGAATGTTCCACCACCCAAATAGTACCTGCTCTGTGGGGGACCTGTGGGGGTCCTGACCGTTGAAGAAAAGGTTAACAAAGTATGCAGAGAAACAGATGGACTACAGTCTGTACTACAGTATGTACAGTATGTGTTTGTAGAAACAGAGAGTTATGCCTGATCAGTGTATATTGAACTACACACTGGGAATCTTCTGCTGATCTTTAGCTAGCAGTGTTGTGAAGTTGCTGGCCATTCTTGTCCAAATTCATGACATTTTCCTTTTTTGTTGCTGCAGCTGAAGTGTGGGAACTGTGGCGAAGTCTCCGACAAATGGCAGTATATTACATTACTGGTAGGATGTTACATTAAATTCTCATTATTGCACAGATTTGAACACTTGGCCTGCTGAAAAATGCAGAATCAGTCTGTTAGTCAATAAATATTCTGTCACTTGTGCATTCCATGATTTGACTGCATAATCAGTGTTATTCGTCAAACAAGGTTACGTCTTTTTTTTACCAGTATTTATTGTCCAAATGCTTCAGTATTGGTTTTAACAGTCGTTTGCCTCGAGCACAGCTTAAAGGGGAAATCCACCGTTTTCTACATGATTCAGTTGTTGAGATGTGAACAAAGTTATTCAGAGTGTTTTGATGTGAAATAGTTGACTGTAGAGAAACTCACTCACTCAGATTTGTCTACAGTGGTGTTTTTACAGCACAGACTGATCTCAAAGCCATCATAAAACAATGTCTCAGGCATCAGACAGTGTTTATAACCATTTTGTGTTATAACTCAATGTGAAGGTACTTTTAGAGGCATTAAACTCTTCAGATATCTGGTTCCTAGCAGCAGCACTGTGAACATTTCTGACTCTAAATTTTTCTAGAATGCCACTTTTCTCATCAAAGCATTCTGAAGGTTTTTATTTACTTCTTTACATATAATTATTCAGAAATTTTGAAGAAACGGTGGAATTCCCCTTTAAACTGTGCCTGGCATAAAATCTGATGAAGTGTCTGAAGGATTTGAAGATTATTTTGCCTTTTTCCCTTTTAAACAGTTACGGTGTATGTGGTTGAAGTCCGATGACTGATTTCTCAAAAAAGGATTCTCACACACAAGAAAAGTTTTGAATAGTGCATTTTTGTAAACACACACACACATGTATAAATGTGTGTATGTATGTGTGTGTATATATATATATATATATATATATATATATATATATATATATATATATATATATATATATATATATATTTACACACACACATACATAGTTATAGATGTAGATAGATAGATATCAATAGAAACAGTTCATGGGTAGCAGATTTGTAGACCATACTGTGTCTGTTCATCACTGATGTGAAGATTTCCTTAGGACAGTATGCCGCTGAAAGGAGGGAGAGGCAGCGCCAGCATGGTTCAGAAGTGTAAGCTGTGTTCTCGGGAAAACTCCATAGGTAAACATACACTTCTGGATATTTCAGTCACTGTACCACATACTATATGTTCACATGGGCAACACCTCAGCATAAATTGATTCAGTGCAAGTAAACCTGCATATTTACACTTGCATGTCTGCTTTTATCAGACATTAAAATCCAGAGTGACTTACATTTTTAATCACGTTACAGATGTAGTTAAATGCAGCATTTGGAGTCTAGCCCAAGGAGTCCTGCTGGTGTAGCGTGTTGTGCTTCCCTGGGTGGGAAATATCTAAGAGGAGGTTCTAACAACTTTATTATGAATTGATTATTCTGCAATTGCTTCATTTACATGACATTGAAGATTCACACCCCATTAACAGTGTGGACGGTGTGCAGGTGATTTTGGGGGATATTTTGATGAGATATGATAGTGTTTTAGAGCCAAGTGAACTCTTATACTGCAGTGCATCAATCTGGGCAAGACCATTCAGCACTTCTGCAGACCTGCCATGCTGGATGATATTGGAATATTGAACCAATACTCAGATTTTACAGATAAATTAAACCAATATTTTATCCTGCATGGAGCGCTTGGTCAGGCCTGTGCGCATGAAGCAAATCAGACAGATGGTGCCAATACATTTAAGGCCTTGTAAGTAAACGTTATATATGGCCTGGTTGCTGAGTTTTTTATGTACTTCAATCTTTCAGTTTCTTTATTTTGGAAGACCAGCAAGAGCCCATTGCAATAATCAGAGCCAAAAAAGCCACGTGTTTATCAGCATTTCAGCTGCTGAAGCTGTAAGTGCAGGGCGAAGACAGGCAGTGTTTCTGATGAGGAAAAATTGATTTATTTATTTATTGCTGTATTTATTATATTATAGGAAAGAACAGGATTAAAAAAAAAAGACCTTGGTATTGCAAACCGCACTAGGGGCACATAGAGTAGACCCATCAAAATGCACACTAACAGGACGTGACTTTCTGAGAGAAGCAGCTGAGCCCAGCAGCGAAGCCTTAGGCTGTTTGCTATTAAACTTTCTGCCCATCCATAATTTTTCCTCTTGGAGGCGTGCTAAGAGAGCCCGATGCAGAAGTTGATTAATAAGCTTAGAGTGGACGTAAGTGAAAAAAATGATAACTCATACCATATTTATAAAGTATTTGTCCAAGAGGTAACGTAATTAGAAATAAAGTATTGGCCCTAATACTGATCCCTGGGGGACATTCTCACAACATGGATTTCTGGTATTCCAGAACAGCAGGACATTTAGGCAGCGCTTGGCTTCGGTGCTAACTGACTGCATTTTATTTCATTTTACAGCAGCAGAATCAACAGACAAACATGAAAATTGTCTGATATTAGCATCAGGCCACAATTCCCTTATCAGTCCATTGTTAATTCAGTCCTGTACAGCAGAGGTATTTAAATCTGTACCTTGAACTCTTTAAATCTTAATTATTGCTTGTTATTTGAATAATAATGCAAATAGTTGGCCTCTTTGTGATTAAACCTGACTTATGTGTAAAGGTCAGGTGGAAAATCTACACTATCTGGACCTTCAGGGTTGTGATTTGAAAAGCTCTGCTCTGTACAGGGTTGTCTAGAGCTGTCCAATGAAGATTGCTCAATGAAAGCACAGATTTTCTTCCACAGATATCCTGAAGGACACCATTACACCATATAATGTGAGTAATACAAATGATTTATTTCTAATGAATGAAGTTTCCTTTCTCTTTTTTTTTTTAATGCATGCAAGTGATGGTTCAGCTGAATGTCACGTACACAGTACCCTTTACTCCAGTTGTAGGCCAAAAGGCTAAAGTAGCTAACACGTAATGGAAGCTTATACGCCAACCGGCCACTTCATTTAGTATGCCGCCTTGTTTCTACACTCGCTGTCCATTTTATCAGCTCCACTGACCATATAGGAGCACTTTGTAGTTCTACAGTTACAGACTGTAGTCCATCTGTTCCTCTGCATACTTTGTTACCCTGTTCTTCATTGGTCAGGACCCCCATGGACCCTCACAGAGCATGTATTATTTGGGTAATTGATCATTCTCAGCACTGCAGTGACACTGACGTGGTGGTGGTGTGTTAGTGTGTGTTGTGCTGGTATGAGTGGATCAGACACAGCAGTGCTGCTGGAGCTTTTAAACACTGTGTCCACTCACTGTCCACTCTATTAGACACTCCTACCCCGTCAGTCTACCTTGTAGATGTAAAGTCAGAGACAATAGCTCGTCTGCTGCTGCACAGTTTGTGTTGGTCATCCTCTAGTCCTTCATCAGTGGTCACAGGTCGCTGACCACAGGACGCTGTTGGCTGGATATTTTTGGGTCTTAGTCCAGCAGCAACACTGAGGTGTTTAAAAACTCCAGCAGTACTGCTGTGTCTGATCCACTCAGACCAGCACACACACACATGCCACAACCATGTCAGTGTTACTGCAGTGCTGAGAATGACCCACCACTCAAATATTACCTGCTCTGTGGTGGTCCTGTGTGGGTCCTGACCTCTGAAGAACGGGGTGAAAGGGGGCTAACAAAGTATTTTTTAAACAAAGTGCTCCCATATGGTCAATGGAGCTGATAAAATGGACAATGAGTCAAATTACGTTTTGTTGATGTGTAGCTTGAAAAACCTAACATATGTTTCTAACATATGTTTCTCTGAAGGCGGAGGACAGTGAAAGGTTTAAGACGATGGTGCAGTTTGAGTGTCGGGGTTTGGAGCCAGTGGACTTCCAGCCGCAGGTCAGACATCTGTGAATGCAGCTTAAAGAGGAATTGCACTAAATTTTCAAAATACAAGCAAGAAGATGTAAACAAAATCATGTACAGTGGTTTAGTGGGAATGCGCCATTCTGGATAAACCTGAATTGTTCACAGTGGTGGTGACAGGAACCAGATATCTGAAGTGTTTAATGCCCTAAAAGCTCCCTCACAGAAATTATTTAATGAACGAATACACTACCTGATGACTGAGAAAATGTTGTATGATAACTTTAAGATAACTTTTTGGTTAATTTATATAAATTTATATATATATAAATTTATATTTATTCCAGATTACAAGATATGGATAGAAGATGTACAGGTTGCCAATCTATATGTGCAGGTATAGATTTGCTAGATTGAAGTTACAGTAGTATGTTACTTTTTAATAAAAAATACATACAATACATAAAAAGGAGAAGTAAAAAACCTACTTTACTTTTAATGTAAGTCAGTGGAACCAGACTTTTTTCCCAGTCTTTTTGGTTCGTTTCTTTTGGTCCATTCATCATGAAATTTACACACAATGTAAAGGGAAACAGGCATTTTCAAATTATGTCAAAAACTGAAAACCGGCAAAAATGGAGATACAAGGTTTTGTTCCGACAGCAGCGATATTATATAATATATTAATATTTTGCACACAAGCTCTTTTGAAACCCATTTATCTTAGACTCCCTCTAGTGTCTCAGGAACCCAGAGTACATCGTGTTGTCTCTCCTCACTAGAAATTCTCTGATCGTGTTCTGTAAACTAAATTTTCTGCTCTATATCTTCACAGGCTGGCTTTGCTGCCAAGGGGGCTGAGACCACCACCCAATTCCTTGAAATCAACCTTCAGGAGAAAGTGAGTCAGAAATGCTATGAAAGGAACAGTTCACAGAAATTTAGACAGTTTTTCCTAATTTACCCAAAAATAATTTTGGGTGACAGACTGAACATGTCTTGACTGAACCATTACGGTGAACCATTCTTCTAATGAGGAATCAGGTTTCACTGAGAACATCCATGAGATTGCGTGTAACAGACTTCTTTCCATGTTTCAGGACTGGACAGACTACGATGAAAAGGCCAGCGAGTCTGTGGGGATCTACGAGGTCACACACCAGTTCATTAAGTGTTGAGGGATTTTGTGACGGGGCACAAAATAGACGGATTGAGGTCCACCTGGAAGAAAAGAACCATATATGAAGACCGTGTATACATAATTGCTTTTATTATTCTTGGTCAGTTAAAAGTGGTTGTGTTGGACACTAAGGACAAGAACACTCACCATGTGAAAGATGGACAGTGCCTTTGGAAATGCTGGTTTGCAGTGACAATAAAGATGGAGTCTTTCATTGCCAAACTTTCTCTATTGTCTCATTTATTGACATTCAAAATCAGTTCTTTTATTCAGTGTCCAATAATAATAACATGGTCATCATCAAAGTTCAATAACACAGACTCTGAATAAAGGTAAGCGCAGCTTAATATAGTTGCATTGTAATGTTTGTTTCTTACCGTTTGCAGCTCTCCCACCTTGTGAGACCAGTTTTTGTTGGCCGTAAACTCCTTTTGTCATGATGTATGAATTTGCATATTTATGATTTCATTGTTATTGCTGGTGTAGTTAGAAGCCATCCTCTAATTAGAGACCACTGAAATAATAAAAGTGGATGAGCAGAAGCACAAGTTAGTAAGTGATTCTAATAAAGTGGCCAGTAAGTGGAAGGATAAGGTAGGTGTTTCTAATAAAGTGGCCAGTGAGTGAAAGTACAAGGTAGATGTTTCTAATAAAGTGGCCAGTTAGTGGGAGGATAAGGTAGGTGTTTCTAATAAAGTGGCCAGTGAGTGAAAGTACAAGGTAGATGTTTCTAATAAAGTGGCCAGTTAGTGGGAGGATAAGGTAGGGGTTTCTAATAAAGTGGCCAATGATTGAAAGTACAAGGTAGATGTTTCTAATAAAGTGGCCAGTAAGTGGAAGGATAAGGTAGATGTTTCTAATAAAGTGGCCAGTAAGCGTGAAGATAAGGTAGGTGTTTCTAATAAAGTGGCCAGTAAATGATAGGATAAGGTAGGTGTTTCTAATAAAGTGGCCAGTAAATGATAGGATAAGGTCGGTGTTTCTAATAAAGTGGCCAGTAAATGATAGGATATGGTCGGTGTTTCTAATAAAGTGGCCAGTGAGTGAAAGTACAAGGTCGGTGTTTCTAATAAAGTGGAAGATAACGTTCAGTGCAGAACGACCTGGGCGGGTTTTAAGCAGTGAATGGGGTCCAAACGATCTATCTGGCAACCCTGTCTACCTGCCTGCATTCCACACTGAGCAGCGCTGTCAGAAGCAAACGGGGAAAATGGGTCCGATGAAAAACAGAGTTTTTGTGGTTGGCGTGGGGATGACAAAGGTAAAACAGCTGTTTCTTATCTCTCACGCAGCCCCGTCATTTATCGCGTATAGCCAGCTGTCTTGCTAAAGTAGCGAAACTTAGCTGAAGTTAAGTGAAATTACCTCGTCCTGGTTTTGTGCTTTGCAGAAGTGTTAGCTTGTTAGCTAGCTAGCTAACCTGGTCAAAACAACGCAATGTTATTGAAAATGTGTTATAACCCAGCCTCAGTCGGCTAGCTAGCGACTTTAGCTCGTTTTCTGAGAGGACTGGTCACTGTGAGCTACAAATCCAGCTTGCTGCTGTGTCGTAAATGCCTTCCATAAAAGCTGTCATGTCAATATATTTCAATATCGACATTTCACCGTTTGTAAACACAGTTTATTCAGGAATTCCATCGCGAAATTCACGGGAGAAACGTTTCTGGTCATAAACTGAAGTTGAGGTCTAGCTGGATAAGTAGAGATTACAGACGAGGCTGCCAGCTTCTTGTTCGAATTTTCCCGTTCCACCTTAAATGGTGCAGCAGTTACGGTCCGGCGCCTGGGTGCCAGAACGTATCTGCTGCGCTTTTTAAGGTGGAACGGGAAAACTCGAACAAGAAGCTGGTGAATATCGATTTTTGCTGCGTTCCTACAGCATAATAAGAAAGCAAATGAGTGATTTGTGACTTTTTGTTCTCTGAAATCTGTGAAATGCGTTCTGGTTGAAATGTGTTCGTCTGAAAGTCCTACATTGGACTGGTTCTGTGTGACTATCTGAGTACAGAGTTCAAGGTTGTTGCTGTTACTTGGCAGTAGGCCGTAGTTCACAGAGCAGTATTGCCATTGATATAAATCAGAGCGACCTTTAATGTTAGTTTCAGTGAGTTTTAAAGCTTGGTTCACTTTGGTTTAGGAAGATTAGACTCCCATACACTTCATTAGAAGCTTCTGCCTTGGTCTTCCACTCACTGCTCTGAGCTGCACCTTACAGGTCATCTGTCCATATAGATGTGCAGTTAGAGACTGTAGTCCATCTGCTACTACTCAGTGTATCACTCCCCCTCTGCTCCATTCATTACTGGTCAGTTTCTGACCACAAAACCACTGCTGTCCTTATATTATATGGGTGGTGGTGCTACTAGAGCTGAACGATTTGGGGAAAATCTCTAATTGTGATTTTTCTGACAGGTGTTGTGACTGCGAGGGCCATATCACAGAAAACCAAATTTTCCAACTCATTTAAATACATCTGCCTATTCATGCTGAAGTTATAAGGAGTATTTCAGCCTGGACTGCTTTTAAATAAGGTGCAATACAGGACAGCCAATCAGAGCAGAGCTCATTTACATATATCAGTCTTAAAGGCACAGGCTGTTTAATTCACAGGGAGAAAGAGAGGTTGGAAAACGGTCATGTGAAACTGATTTACAACAGTTTTTGCAACATAAACCCACACACAAATGTTACATGGGCCTCACGGAAGAAACAAGACACAGAAATGTAGAATATGGGCCTTTTAAATTGCAATTATCTTCTATAGCTTAAGGTCCAGACCTGTTATTTTGACCAGTTATTCCAAAATGTACACTTTTTCTGGCTTGAGGACTGAACGCTTAACATAGCGTGTCAGACTACAGCCCAATTTTCTTAATTTTACCCCTACCCCTTGTTTTTGAGTGTTGCCCTCGGAACTGAGTTACAGGGTAGTGGTTGAAATGTTCCCCAACAAAATGGGACCCTCAAATAAAAAGAGCATTACTTCATTAACAGCTACTAGCGCTGCTCTGTATTTATTATCGCCCACCACTAATTCTTCAGTGATATGAAGCTGAAGTCAGATGTTCGCCAGCTTCTTGTTCGAATTTTCCCGTTCCACCTTAAATGGTGCAGCAGGTCTGTAGCCTGAGGTGCCAGAATGTAACTGCAGCATTATTTAAGGTGGAACGGGAAATTTTTAGCTGTTTAGATACCGAGACATCAACTACTACTAGCGATTTTTTTTTTTATGCTTGTTATGAAGAAAGGGACCATAATACATTGAAACAACATTAAACTAAGATAATGTTTATCACAGTTTTTTAAAGGAGAAAATTCTCAGATTTGTGGGTTTCTTTGTCGCTTACAAAGCCATTTTACTGGTTTTTCTTTTTTTTCTCATAATACAATGTACATCTGAAAAATGTAGCCATGTAGCTCTAACACTTCACCCTACCCCTCTATTTCAACAAAAAACAGGACACCCTACTGCCTAGACGTGAACACGCAAAACAGAGGGGTAAGGGCTAAGTGGTAGGGGTGAGGGGTGGAAAGGGACTGGGTCTACATGTTAGTTGTGGTTGTGATGTCACAGCACACGGGTGTTTGGTTACTTTTGATTGGTCTACAGGCACTTTATAAGTTCTGTTATAGTATAAGTTCTGTTATAGTGTTATTAGACTCAATTTTTCCGCTTAAAATGTAAGGTAATGTTGATATATATATATTATAACTTTATATACAATACATATAATACAATATATAGATACTTATAAAAACAATTCATATTTCTGCCCAAATTTCTAACACATAGTGTAATTTGTGGGACTAATAAAGGATTATCTTATCTAATCAGCAGATGGGCTACAATCTCTTGCCATACACCGACAAGGGAGTGGTTTCAAATAAAGTGAGTGTGTTTGTGTTTGTCAGCTACTAAAATTATGCCTTTTTTTCCTGTATTTGCAGTTTGATAAACCTGGGGCAAGAGATGGAGATTATCCAGAGATGGCTAAGGAAGCAGGTGTGGTCTTGTCTTACATTATGAACTGCTGGATTAAAGCAGCTGAGAACTAAGCCTAGAAAACAGTGCCTGACTTACTGCCTTCATCTTAACCTCTTTTAGGGGAGAAAGCCTTGGCGGATGCTGGAATTCCATACTCTGCTATAGAGCAAGCCTGCGTGGGCTACGTATATGGTGCGCCATTGTACCATGCAAGCATGATGGTTACAGGCTATGGTTCAAAATTGTCTTGAGAATAAGGACAGTTGTCTAGTTTCTACATGGATTCTTTGCTTGTCTTTCTGTAGGTGACTCCACTTGTGGTCAGAGGGCGATTTACCACAGCCTGGGTCTGTCTGGCATCCCCATCATCAACGTCAATAACAACTGCTCCACTGGCTCCACGGCGCTCTACATGGCCCGTCAGGTCATCCAGGGAGGTGCGGTGCTCATGTAGACCTATTAGGGGCAAAATTTGCTAAGGAGAGTTCAAAGTCAATCTGGGGACCTTCTGGGCCAAAGTGCTGCGGATATTAGCGTTTACCCTCATCTAACACATTGAATTCAGTTCGTGAGGGCCTTGCTAATTAGCTGACGAGCTGAATCAAGTGTGTTTAATAAGGCAGCGTGCTGAAGTCTGCAGTGTTTTGGCCCGCAAGGAATGGAGCCTGACACATGTGGTTTAAAGGCAAAGTTCAGTGAAAGAATCAAATTTGCCCAGCCTGTCCTTTTAACTCAGAAGTAGCTGATCGTTCATTTGGTGTCTGAAGTCTGCTTCTTTAGTTTTGCACTGGAGCTACAAGGCTAATGTAACTATTAAGCAATACAAGTCTGTACACCGCCATTTCTCATGCAAATGCATAAATCATCTCACACTTGCTTCAGCCTCTGTCGAGTTGTAATCTCAAATAGATTTGTTTAAGTGGTTTTCTGACTCTGTAAGGTCTATCTACAAAAATGGACAAAGCTAGCAAATAGCAGTACTTACAACAGCGAGTGTATAGATAACACTGTGTTATACATTGTTAGAAATACAGGTGCTGCGCAGGTACATTTTTTGTTCATCAAGGTACAAACAGTGTAAATGTTCCCTCAAAGGTACAACAGTGGTTTTAAGGTCTGATTGTGAACCTTAAATAGGTTTTTCCAGGTGAAAAGTTCGTATTTGTATCTTTTCATAACCGAATGTTTTAAAACAGAACAGTAAAATAAAAGCCTGGAGACGAGACGGGGTGTGTGGAGTCAGTACAGCTTAGAACATATCATTTCAATGGATTATGGTTCAGTTATGTTCCCTGACTAAAGGTACTGAGATGGACCCTTGAGGGAACCACCCCAGTGACAAGAGGGGTCCTGCCCCAGTGACAGTTTACTACCTTTATCTCTGAGAGTGTACAGTGTCAGAAACTACTTAAGTAAGTCTGTTTGAGCTTACCTAACAAATTGACAAGGCAAGCGTATGATGATTTTAGGCATGCAGTTTTCACAGTGCTATTTGGCGATTTATAAGCTTCCGTTACTGGTCAGCTGCATTAGACGTCCAGTTAGTAGTTCCAGAGCAAAACTAAAGAAGCAGACTTTAGACACCAAATATGTCGTGGCTGATCGACTGCATTTGAGGTAAGGGGAAAATTGTGTAAATAAATTTTTGCTGTGTGTTTAAAAGAGAATTCCACTAATATTTTTGCATTTTTTGTATAAATAAATTGTATTTTTATGAAATGCTGGGTGTGGGGAATCAGAATTGTTCACAGTGGTGGTAATAGAGATCAGACGTCTTAAGAGTTTAATACTCCTACAAGCTTCATCACAGAAGGTTATTACATGAAATGGTTATGAACACACTGGCTGATGCATGAGACATTTTGAGACCTTTTTAATTCAGTTCATGGTGGAGAGAGAAACGCAGGACATTATGAGGCAAAAAAGTTCCCAAAGAGAACCTTATTTCAGATTTATTACTATTTAACCATTATTAGTATTACATATAAAAACAATACACATGCAGGTTCACTGGTTATTTTGGGTAATAAATAAAATGGCTATATTTGCATTCTACACACTTAAAAAGACAGTTCTTCAAGGGTTCTTTAGTAAAGAAAATGGTTCTGTATAGAACCATGAATGCTCAAAGAACCCTTTGCATGATTAAAGTGTTGTTTATCGTGAAACTGTTCTTCACACTGATGGAGAATGTGTTGTATATGGTTCTGTAAAGAAACTTTTTGAAATGGGTTCTGTATAGCACCAAAGGGGTTCTTCTATTGTAAAAAGCTTGACATCGTGACAATAGAAGAACACTTTTTGTAGCTATGTAGAACCCTTTCCAAAAAGGTTCTATGTAGAACCACATACAACATGTTCTGAAACAATCTGAAGAACGCTTTTGCGATGCAAAGAACCTTTTAATCATGCAGAGGGTTCTTTGAGTGTCCATGGTTGCATTTAGAACAATTTTCTTTACTAAAGAACACTTAAGGAACCATCTGTTAAGTGTGTACCACTTGAGAGAAAATGTGAGGTTCTTTGATCACATTTCAACGATTGAATTATGTAGAAATTTTGAAAAATGTTGGAGTTCCCCTTCGAGTTCTGGAAGGGTGCGTTGTATAATCATACATAATCATAACATTCTGACCATCTCCTTGTTTCTACGCTCATTGTCCATTTTATCAGCTCCACTTACTATATAGGAGCACTTTGTAGTTCTACAGTTACAGACTGTAGTCCATCTGTTTCTCTGCGTACTTTGTTAGCCCCCTTTTACCCTGTTCTTTAGTGGTCAGGACCCCCATGGACCCTCACAGAGCAGGTACTATTTGGGTGGTGGGTCATTCTCAGCACTGCAGTAACACTGATGTGGTGGTGGTGTGTTAGTAAGTGTTGCGCTGGTCTGAGTGGATCAGACACAGCAGTTCTGCTGGAGTTTTTAAACACCTCAGTGTCACTGCTGGACTGAGAACAGTCCACCAACCAAAAATATCCAGCCAACAGCGACCTGTGACCACTGATGAAGGACTAGAGGATGACCAACACAAACTGTGCAGCAGCAGATGAGCTATCGTCTCTGAGGTGGACTGACAAGGCAGGAGTGTCTAATAGGGTGGACAGTGAGTGGACACAGTAGCACTCCAGCAGCACTGCTGTGTCTGATCCACTCATACCAGCACAACACACACCAACACACCTCCACCACGTCAGTGTTACTGCAGTGCTGAGAATGATCCACCACCCAAGTAGTACCTGCTCTGTGAGGGTCATGGGGGTCCTGACCACTGAAGAACAGGGTAAAAGGGGGCTAACAAAGTATCAGAGAAACAGATGGACTACAGTCTGTAACTGTAGAACTACAAAGTGCACAATGAGTGACAATGAGTGTAGAAACAAGGAGGTGGTCATAACGTTATGCCTGATCGGTGTATAACGACTCAGCGAATAATAGTGTCATAAATATTCCTAATTTCTTCACATACAAGCTTTAGTGTCCTTTTCTCCTGTTTCTGTGCAGGTTTAGCTGACTGTGTTCTTGCCTTGGGTTTTGAGAAGATGGAGAGGGGCTCCTTGTCCGCTAAGGTAAGATGGAAGCTCTTATCTTCATTAAGAAACTGGTACGGTGTCTCTCTCATAGCGTCTGACTGAGGCTGTGGTCTGTCAGTACATGGACAGGACCAGCCCTATGGACAAACACATGGAAGTCATGATCAATCGATACGGAATAGCAGCAGCTCCGGCGGCACCTCAGATGTTTGGCAATGCCGGCAGAGAACACATGGAGAAGTATGGTAAGATATTGGGCACTTGTTTCTTTGCTTTTCTTTTCTCTTTGAACTCTTCCCACACTGTCCAGCAGGTGGTGCTATTAAAGTGGCTGTATCAAGGAAAACCTTATTTGAAATAAAATTATTATGTGCTGTGTAAACACTGTTTAAATTTTAAAGCATCCCTTTCTTCCCCAGTTTGTACAGTTCATATATAGAAACTAAGCTGCACAAACAGCCCATTTTGAATTGGCGTCGCAACAGTGTGACATCAGAGCCATGAACACATTTATATATGACCAACCATTGAGCCAACAGTAGTTTAGCTGCGCAGTCACACTGAAGTGATGCAGAGCATAGACATGTATACATAGACACCGCATTGACCGCTTCGGTCCGTTGCTGTGATGCGTCGGTGCGCCCGCGATATTGGTCCAGGCAATATTGGACTGTAAACAAATACAATAAAACGGGAGAGCTGAGTTTTTTCTAAGGAAAAAGCACTATAATGTTTGTTTCTCAAACGGTTTCAATCAGTTGTTTTTATATTCAAGGGTTCACAACCTACATGAAGTACAGAAAAAGTTTTGTCTGCAGTTGCTTCAAATCTCAGTAGTTTTAATTGCTGCTATATGCTATAAAGAGAGAGTGTGCATCATCATTAGGCTCACATGAACTGAATTACTACTGTAATGGAAAATAATTCATGTTTGTTAAGCATGGCATTGGCTTGCTTTCCTAGGTTAAAACCTCTTATTCTCCAGAGTATATTTAGGTTTTTACGTCTGAATTTACGTGACCACATCGTGAGGCAAATTATTCAGTAACTGCATGAAATAAATGTACATTTTTATTTTATTTATTTATTTATTTATTGTAAAAACTCCCCTCAAATTAACAGAACATGTGTTTTATTATCACACATATTGCTACATGCTTACAATTTACTGCTGAAAGCCAAAAATCTTAGACGCTCTTTGTATTATTTTATAAAAATAATTTTTACAGAGCAGATCACTGAAGAGACGCCATCTGTTTATAGTTTATAGCCCAGATTTGTGGAAAAATGGATCGACTTTCAGTAGAAAAAAAAATTGTGGGTTCAGCTTCTTTTTTTATAAGAGTTTAAAATTACATCACCCATCTATTTGACTGGAAAGTAGACAGTTACAGCTCTCATATGACCCCCCACCTTTTGAATGTAGCTTATGAAATATGAAAGTTATGAAGAATATGATGAAGTGCGTTTTGGAACCACCGGCGGTCTCAAGGAGTTGAAAAGGTCAGTACTTCTGAAACGAGGCTGAATTTGACGTCTTATTCGACTCTTCCGTTCCACCTTTAATGATGCAGCATTTACCTTAATGGTGCACCAGAATGTAACTGCAGCATCATTTTAGATGGAGCGGAAAATCTGAATAAGAACCTGGCGAGTACAAAGTCAAATTCAGCTTCATTGTTCCTTCTATGTCCTCATCATTTTAGCTTTCCTTCTCCCGGTCAGAACACAGTTCATTTACTACAAATACAAAAAAAAAATGCATATTATAAGAACTGATAATTGACTGTCTGACGGAAAACCCCTTAAAGCTAACTCGCACTACCTCCTCAACTCTTTCTCTTTGGGAAACCTCTTAAGTGTGAAAAAAATTTAGCAAGCTGGTTAACTACAGTCAGATTCATAATATATCAGTCGCTCAGCCGTCACGAGTAGCTTGGCATTAAAATCGATGTGGAGAAAAACACCAGTATAAATGAAAATCTTGATTATGGGCAATTCAGTTTTTATGATTTCTTATAAAGTCTCAGCTTTCACAGCTATGAAGTGTTAATCACTAGTGTTAGCTATTAGTAGTCTGACGGTGGTAGCCAGCTAGTTATCTCTTTACATAGTGATATAATGGCCAAATGCAACCAAAAACAACTGATCAGTTTTACCTGTGAATTCCCTGAGATCTGGTTTGGGTTCTGCAACGGTTTGTACAGCCCCTGCATCTTTTTTCCATTTCAGTCTTCTGAGAGTTATGACAGGTTGCCTGGACTAATACGGTGGGGACGTTGAGGCATGATCCAGTGGCTAACGTATATGTGTCTATGTATGATGTTATTGCTGAAGGCAATCTGTAGAATTCTTGTTGGAGTTTAAGATGAAGGGAAAACAATTAAATGTTGTGCTGTTCATGGCTGTCAGGAAGTGAATATATGATAGAAGCCTTTCAAAGAACGTACATATCTCAAAGGAGTGGTTGAGGTTAATTGTTTCCCTCGTTTCTGAGGATTTCAGTGTGAACGTAGAGGCTTGTCCTGTACATGCCGAATAGTTTTTTGATCAAGGTACAATGTGGGGCAGCCAGTCAAAACAGTGCTTATTTACATACATCAGTCTTAAAGGCACAGTGACAAAAGCAGCCTGTTTAACTCTTCGGGGTGAAGAGAGGTTGGAAAACGTTTATGCAAAAGTGAATTTTGATTGTTTTTGGTACATAAAATCACTCAAAAGCTAAAAATGGACGTCAGGGGGAAGATTCTGCGAAAATCTAGGTTATGGGCCTTTCAGTGAAAACAGCTCAACCACTTTCAGCGGCTCTCCTGATATTAAGGTGATATTTTCTGGCTGAGGAATGGGCAGATGCAAGCTGTTAATGGTGTATTTGGTGTAATTGGTGTTTCTGGTGGCCAAAAGCTCTATTGGACACCTCAAAATATTGATTTGGTTTGTAATGTATGGTGACGCACACCTGTGGGACTTAAGTAATTAAATGTGATGTGTATCGTCTGTTTGTTCTAGGCACCAAACCAGAACACTTTGCCAAAATTGCCTGGAAGAACCACAAGCACTCCACCAACAACCCGTAAGTTCTGTCGACAAATTACAGCCCTGTTTTAGCCAACTTTGCCTTTATGAATCACTTTTGCCTAGAGTTCTGCCATTCAGAGTAGAGTAGGCAAGTGTGGGGTGACATTTAAAAGAAAAAATTGCTCAAACAGTTTGAAGACCTTGTAAGAATCTTTCACCAATTTAACCTTTTCTGCCACGTCTGTAGCTAAAAGAATGGGTTCTACCAAAATATTCGTCAATTAAATATTTATTGACAGAACCGAGGAAATGCCTGTTAGCATCTGTTATAAGTCAAGGAGTTTTCCACACATTGTCTGTGTTAATTGACAATATAATACACGTGTGGCAGGATTAAGTATACTTGAATATTTCTCTAAGGGACACTTTTTCAAGCCATCTGTTTCTGGATAATGAGCTGAGAGTAAATTAGCTTCCCTTGGTGTTTTGGGGGATTGAAATGAGTCTCAAAAAGTCAAGATGGCAGACTAAACTCTGCTGTAAAGGGCCTCATTACAAATCACAGCCTGTGAGGAATAATGGAAAGGTAGCAGTAATGCTGCCTGAGTGAAAGTTTAAGAGAAACATCGCAGTGCAGGTTCTGTAAGTCCTTCATTCGTTCATTCATTCATTATCTCTAACCGCTTAAGTCCTTAATTTAAGGTGTGTAAAATTAGATGGCCGAAATGATCACAGTCACAGGGTGGGGGGATGTGTCTACTGCCAACATGTAATTCTGAGAGAGAATCCCTCCTTTTCCCCCCAGATGGAGCCCAGCAGCGGCTCATAATCATCATTCAGCGATCCTACATGATATAGTGTTTCATTTTTATTGGCTGTCAGAACTAAGATGACGTTATGTGAAGTTGGTTTTATTTTCATACTTGTATATTTCTTTCTTCGCCAGCTTTCCCAGCTTTTTTTTGGAAGAAAACAGTTTAACAAGTGTAAATAGTCATTTTAGCAGCCAAATCAATCAGCATCACCTTTAGTTTACGTCTGAAATTGATGTCGAACGTTTGATGTAAAAAAAAATTTTTATTTCTTTTTTTGTGAACCGCTGTAACTGCCATGAAAGCTAAGTGTCTACAAATTGCAGCAAGTGGCAATCATCGGGGTCAAAGCACTATGCGGCAACATAAATAGTGGGAGTAGAACATAAATAATTGGAGTTTTTAGAATGGCTTTGATATTTAATGGATGTTGAGCTCCAAACGATGATGTCTACCAAATTTTGTACACATTGGCCTTTTGAACTTGGTATGGTAAGCAAAAGTCACAATACTTAGAAAACTCATTTTTGGACATAAATTGTATTTGCATAGTGTTGAAGTCAATGAACTGAATAATTCCACAGCCCAGTATTTTAGCAAGAATTTTGATGCTAAAATAACTACAATGTTCTCCTAGAAGCAATAGCACTCGATCAGTTTCTGAACTCTTTACTTTTTTCACTGTGTTTTTATGTATTTTTATGTCTGAGTACGAACAGACGTAGTATTATTCTAGAAGTGTTTTGAAGTGGTTTGTATATACTTTGTGCTTTGGGTATTAGTGTGATATTTAGCTCACAGAACAGAATAGAAAAAGGAAAAAAACAACCCCACAAAATCTCTTTAATAATCTTGCATCTTTTTTTTTTCTTTTCTCAGCTATTCTCAGTTCCAGGATGAGTACAGCCTGGACCAGGTGATGAAGTCCCGCAAAGTCTTTGAGTACCTCACACTTTTACAGTGCTGGTGAGTAACCTGCACCACTTGCTGTTTGGTTTCTGCCCCTTTTAGTAAGAATTGTATCTGAATCATCATACACTGTGGACATATTGATGATAGTATGATCGATACACAAGTAAACAGAGACTAAATCACGATGTGTCAGTCTGAAGGTGGGGATTCAGCTGCATTGATTTTGAAATGTTATACCTCTGTGGTTCTCAACCAAACACGCCACGCAACGTTTGGTGACTGTGAAGGCAATCCAGCCTTATCGATTTTGCAACGTTCTCAGTAATTATGACTAATATACTAATTGAATTGAACTGAATTGTGATGAAATGTGACCTTTCATGATGCATTGAAGCATTTCCTAAAGAATTCTAATCAAGTCAAGTCATTGTGGAGTCACAGATTTACCGTCCTTTTGCTTTTATAATTATCTGACTGCGACAAAAATATTAAAGCTGTCTCGAATGTTGAATCTTGTAGTCCTACATCTGACGGAGCTGGAGCAGCAGTGCTGGCCAGTGAAGCGTTTGTGAGGAGGCACCGGCTTCAGGGTAAAGCTGTGGAGATCATTGCTCAGGAGATGACCACGGACCTCGCCAGCACCTTCGAGGAGAACAGCTGCATCAAGATGGTACGTCGAGGAGGGTCCTTTATCTGGGCTTTTTGTCACCTTGACTGTCTTGATGATTGGCAATGTAATGATACGTTGTTGTTATTATTGTGGTAAATTAATAGAGGTATAGCGCTTCACCTCTTTCACAGTTTGTTTTGTTTCTCAGTTTCTGGGCAGATCTGTTTGTATCGCATTTTAGCCTAAAAAAAGGAACTGTACTTTCAACTTAATGTGTTTATTTTTGTATTAAACACGACTTTTCAAGAATTTCTTCTTTGCTAAATTGTTGCCAACGTGAGGTGAAAGTCCAGCTCTATGCTCTGCATTAACATTCAATCAATCAATCAATCAATCAATCAGTCAATCAGCCTTTATTTAAACTCAGAGTACATTGAGGGAGACCCTCATTTACAGTGTAGCTGAGCCGATACAGAGATTGAGGGGATACAGGGATTGAGAAGTTAAATAGTAAAAACATATGAAATGCTTAAAAGTAATAATAATCATAGTAGTAAATAAAAAAATTAAATCGATAAACCATTAAAATTATAACAGTATAGTAACTTAATGAATAAGATAAAATAAGGATAAATGAAAAATATAAATAATAAAATAAAGAAAGAAATAAAAGATGTAAAGTAATAGCTTGGCAACAAACTGTCTTTTGCATTAATAGTTCTGACAGGAATGGAGACATTTTGCCTCTTTTGCTACTTTTTTGACTTCCATCAGTAAGTCATGCTGTTACTGTAACAAACCTCTCTGTTGCTAAAATATTCAGCTTTACGTAGAGGTGGGCAGTATGACAATATTTTATCGTTATTTTCATAAATTATGTCACAATATGCTTTTCTCTGTATATTGTGGATATTGTCAGTGCTTCAAGAACATAAACAAACTGTATGATTCAACAAAGAGAGCATAAATAGTCCTATAACTGGATTTACTGCGCCACAGTATGTAAAACCTTGAAGAAAAAATATTGTGCTCGTATTTTTTGATAGTATTTTAAAAAACCAAATATCATGGTACATATTGTGTGTTGTTAAAGTGTCATCAAATATCATGAAATTATTCATTTGCTTTATCGCCCGGCCCAGCTATACTTCTTAAGTTTTCATATTTTTACATCTTCATTCATCTTTTGCACCACTTGTGCACTGAAATGTGGTCTGCTTGGACTTTTGTACCATGATTTGAGCTCATTTAACATGGCAATGACAAATGCCATGAATCGACCTGTGTAGCCTGCACACTCTCTGCTTGAATGCTTTGTTTCGGGCCGCAAATTTTGGTTTTGGTTCAGGACATAATCATACATCGCTATAAACTACATCAGAATTTTCTGAGTGTATGGTGGGTTTGGTCAGTACTTCTAGAGCACTGAACAACCATGTGGATCATAACCATTGTATAGTAACTACATGGTAACAGCCCATTATGCCGTTGTCTTATATATTAATTTATTCATTATTTTTTCCCTGCTTTCTCAAATCAATAAATTAATTAATGTATTTATTTATATTTATTTATTTATTGCAGATGTTGAATTAATTATCTTTTCACTCAGTAATAAAGCTGGTAAAAATGTACATTTAAAGTGTGCACGTTGCCTCCAAATGTTTTACTCCTCCTTTCTGTAGGTTGGCTACGACATGACGCGCCTCGCAGCCAGGAAGTGTTTTGAAGCCGCAGGTCTGAAGCCCTCGGATGTTGACGTTATTGAGCTGCACGACTGCTTCTCCGCAAACGAGCTCATCACCTACGAGGCCCTGGGCCTCTGCCCTGAGGGTGAGACAGAGAGGCCTGTAGTTACAGTTATTTTATCTCGGCCCAGCTGTGTGTAGTCAAAAGTTACTCAGAAGTTGCCAGCTGCACAGCTTAGTTTGAAAATGCAGTTGCGGGAGAAACTGATTCCTCTTCTGGTAGATGGCTTTTAAGCAGAGTTTAGAGCGGAGGTTCTCAACCTTTTCCACCCCAAAGCCCATCTTTGTATAACTATAAAACATAGTGGCCCACAGGAAAACTAAAATCAATTTTTAAATACAACGTTATTTTTCTTTTTTTAAATGCTGACGCTGAAAACCTGTAAATTAGGCCCTGAAAAGGATCAGATTGGCCATTCTGGTTGTCAGTTGGTTTGCAATAATTGCAGGTGTGTTAAATAACATGAAATATGTTTAAAATTAAACACATGGGTGTAGTGATGTCAAAAAGGGGGAAAAGGAAAAAAAGAATAGAAATGTTTGAGGTACATGTGATTTGGAGCTGCAATTCTTCACGTTTTCACTGAAAAGGCTCCATAAAAATTTTCAAAAAAAAAGATTTGTTTGGTCTCGAGATGTCTCTTTAATTTTGAGGGCTTTTGTGATTCATTTGAAATAAACCTCCCTTCATTCAGTGGGCTTTTAGATTAGTGTCGTCACAATCAACAGTAGTGGTAAGTCTTACCTGATATCTGCTTCGTTGGTTTATCAGTTCGAGTTCAACCACTCAGGTCACTGATGCTCAACCAAATATACGCTCCAAATCAAATGCATCTCTTCTCTATTTTATGGCTCGTCTGTTGTTTTTACCAGCAGCTTGTGCTCAGTGTCTGAAGAGTCAGCCGTTAGAACAGTCGTTATGCTGACTGTACGGCATTGACGTGCCTTTAAAAGGGAAGGAGAGACAGCTCTACTGATTGACTCCCTCGTTTGAACACAGAGAGCTGTTTGCTGCAGACCCAAGTGCGGGTGGAGTGTTCACACACGTCAAAATGGAGCGAACTAAAGAAAAAGGTGTGATAAGTCCGCACCAAACAAAAGTGCCCTGAGAAACTTCATCCGTCTTCGACTGATGATGTTTAATTATCCCACTGCTGTGATGTGTTTATTTGTACATCTCTATTAATATTTACATTGGCTGTTCTGTGAAAACATTAAATTCTTAGATTTTTAATTCTTAAGTTAATCATTTTTCCACTTAATGTTATTATGACTTACGGTGATGTTACCGGCCCAAATTACTGCCTCCCTCTGAGTACAGGCCCGCGTGCTTCGTGGCCCACAGGTTGAGAAACCCTGTCATAGACAACGCTAAAAAGATCAAGATCTGTAAGCAAGATCTGTGACCTAAATTTAAAAAGAAAAACGTATGATAACCAGCATTACCTAGTCAGATGTTTGAAGTTAAAACAGCTGGAAATTGGAGTTTATAATCTTCCAGGATTATTAATCACATGTAAAAAATAGAAAATGTAATTAATATCTAATAATTATGTAAATAAGGTGTCCTGTGGTTCAGAATGAGTGTTGCTGATGTCAGAGTGATGCCTAATATTGTAAATTGCTGCAGAGAGTTACTGTAGGGTTACATACAGCGAGTGAAACGTATTGATTTTCTTGAGGACGAGTGAGCTTCGCTAAGAGCTGATCATTTAGACCTGATGCTAACTGACGACAGCAGAGTGAACGGAAGTGGCAGTCAAAATCTGAGGTTAAGAGATTTTACGAATATCTGCAAATACATGTAAGACAAATGTAATTAGGTAAATAAAAAACTGTTACAAGGAAGACGTTACAGTTTTGTCATACATCACATACTTTGTTGTTCATAAAGAAATGCCAAATGGCAGGCTAATGCCGTCCACCCACTCTGTCCCTTCCCAGGTAAAGCTGGAGAGCTGATCGACAGAGGGGACAACACCTACGGGGGGAAGTGGGTGATTAACCCCAGCGGAGGGCTCATCTCGAAGGGACACCCTCTCGGAGCTACAGGTACAGATCGACTTCACTGCAAAAGAAACTACTTAACAGAATGATTGTTATTTTTATGTAACACGTGAAGGAAACGTGCAGACAGAGTGAGCCTGTAAGGCTGTAGTTTAGCGAAAAATCGCATCACACATGCAGCACTGTGCAGAAGCTTTAGGCACATAGTTAAAAAGCTATTTGTCTGGGCTGAAAGCATGTATTTGCTGAGGAATACACTGATGTCAGAATAAATATAAGTAATATTAATACAACGTAGTGATTTTTACATACATCAGTATGTCAGACCTTTTCTTGTGGCAGATAATTATAACTATATTGTTCTTTGTTTTATATTATTCTTCTCTTTTATTCTTATTTTCCTGCCGGATTTTTGCCGCGTAACTCGTCCTGCAGTTTTCGAGATATCATCACCGTCCAGTCTGATTCGGGCTTGTACAGCTTTTTGATGTGAAATCCATAGGAATGAATGGGGTGAAAAATTGCACGACCATCTACTGTACGTTTCTCATATACTATCTCAGCACAGGCCCCCGAGCACGAATTCAATGTTGTTCTGACCCGCACTCATCCTTTTAACGTCCCTCGTTTCTCCCGTAGAGTCCCGTTCATTTTTGCCAACACACAAACTCTATTACTTCATTGCCTTACAGTCATCAAAGTACATGTACTCACTAAGGGTAGTAAAAACTAATCCACAGCCATACTGACCTGCGCTCCTCTGTGTGGTGTGTTTTCATCCCTCGTTCCTCCCGTAGAGTCCTATTCATTTTTGCCAACACACAAACTCTATTACTTCGTTGCCTTACAGTCATCAAAGTACATGTACTCACTAAGCGTAATAAAAACTCTACTGCACAGCCATACTGACCTGCGCTCCTCTATGTGGTGTTTTTTCATCCCTCGTTCCTCCCATAGAGTCCCATTTATTTTCAACAACACGTAGCTAACACTTGGCAACTCGCTACGAACAACTAAATACACACCCCATACGCCATGGGTGTCAAACTCAACCACTAAAAGGGCCATATTAAAAAATTCTCAGCAAATCTGTGAGCCAGCTGTGTTTTTATTTCCTTTAACATTTTGCTGTGGCCTGAATGGGCCATTGTTTATTCAAAATATGCCAAAAATGCAACAGCAAATAGGCACTGAATACTTCTTCAAAAATAGTTCTAAATAAAATAAATTGGTATTTTTTTAACTGCCTAATTGCTTGACCTGTACACCTGGCATCTTTTCTTTTTGTGTAATTGCTGGACCATAGATTGTTGTTGGGGGTCAGAACGCACACTGTGTTGCAGTGCATGCTGGGGGCTGTAGTGCAGTTCAGGGTGACACGGGCTAATAAGAATAGAAAATTAAAATCATTTCGTGGGCCGAATAGGACTCGGGCCTTGTGTTTGACACATGGGCTATACACCATGGAAGCTGCCTAGCAGCACCTTAGCAACCACCTGGGATACCATAGTAACCGCCAAGCAATAACCTAGCAGGAAGTGCGAACCATTTAAGTTGCCCAAACATTCTGCGTTTGCATGTTTCTAGTTCATCCAGTATCTGGTTTGTCTAATCAGTTTTTCATCAAGTTAAATCAAGTGTGCTGTTGGAATTTAACAAATCTGTGTCATGGTTGGGGCAGCCAGGAGAGTCTAGAACCAAACTTTGTTCTTCAGACTTGCTCACAAGATACAAAGACATCATTACTTTTTGCTGTTTTTATTTATTTACATTTATTGTAGTGATTTTACAAGCAAGAACAGACTTGTTGCCAAGATAAATGGTTTTACATGATGTGCGTAGGTGCCTTTAACGCAGTACTGTATGTAGTCGATCAGTCATTTGAGAGATTTTTTTTTTCTGAAATCCTTTAAGGCAGATGTACTCAGTGCTCATGTAGTAGTAATAGTTGTAAAAGAAATGTGCAAACTGATTTTCACAACTTGTGTGCTGAGGCATAAATACTCCCAGTAGTTAGAAGTCTGTGTAGAAAACATCACCAGCAGGGGGAGCCACACAGTCAGCTGGTAGAGCTCATCCCTCCAGTTCCCCCTCATGCTGCCTGGCTGTGAGAGCAGTGTTAAACTGGGCTCTGCTGAGCGTCTCTGCGGCTCTGTTTCTCCATCTCTCTCTTCCTCACTGCTGGACAGATGAGGCTGGGAGGTATTAAGCTGAGTCTTTCCGGTCAGTGAGCTGAGCGCCAAAGCCGTGTATATGTGTTCATATGTTTGTTTGTTTTTGTTTTTTTTTTTGTTCGTCTGTTCATACAGACTGTTGTACGTTTCTAAACTGCTGTGAGTGAGTCGCTCTAATCTCTGATGGTTTTAATGACTGTAATGACGTTTCCATTTCCATTAGTCTCAGACCTTTTCATCTCTACAGTAACCTCTCTCTCTCTCTCTCTCTCTCTCTCTCTCTCTCTCTCTTTCTTTTTTCTTTCTTTCTTTCTTTCTTTCTTACTCTCTTTTATTTCTCTTTCTCCCTCTTTGTTTTTCTCTCTGTCTTTTTTTCTTTCTTTCTTTCTTTCGTCTCTCTCTCTCTCTCTCTCTTTCTTTCTTTCTTTCTTTCTTTCTTTCTTTCTTTCCTTCTTAGTCTCTCTCTTTTATTTCTTTCTCCCTCTTTGTTTTTCTCTCTGTCTTTCTTTTGTCTCTCTCTCTCTCTCTCTCTCTCTCTCTCTCTCTCTCTGTCTGTCTCTTCTGTCTCTCTCTGTCTCTTTCTTTCTTTCTTTCTTTCTTTCTTTCTTTTTTTCTTTCTTTCTTTCTTTCTTTCTTTCTTACTCTCTCTTTTATTTCTCTTCCTCCCTCTTTGTTTTTCTCTCTGTCTTTCTTTCTTTCGTCTCTCTCTCTCTCTCTCACCTCTCTCTCTCTCTCCTTGTCTGCCTGTCTCTCTTTCTTTGGTTTTTCTCTTTTGCTCTTTATCCCTCTTTGCTTCTGTCTTTCTCTCTTTTCTGTCTTTCTTTCTCTCCTTTCCCCTGTCTCTTTCTTTTTTAACTCTGTCTATCTCTGTGTCTCTGTCTTTCTTTGTCTGTCTGTCTGTCTGTCTGTCTGTCTGTCTCTCTCTTTCTCTCCATTTTTCTGTCTTTATTTTTTTCCCCTATTCCTTTATTGTGTGTGTGTGTGTGTGTGTGTGTGTGTGTATATTTCTCCCTCTTTCTATTTTTCTGTGTGTCAGTCTCTTTGTTCTTTCTCCTTCTTTTTCTGCGTCTTTGTTTTTCTTTTCTTTTTTCTTTCTTTCTTGCTTTCTTTGTCTTCTTTTACTGTCTTTCTTTCTCACTTCCCTTCTTCTTTCTTTTTTAATTGTTTTTCTCTCTCTCTCTCTCTCTCTTTCTCTTTCTCTCTCTCTCTCTCTCCTGGTCTTACTATCTTTTTCTGTCTGTCTATTAATTATATTTTCAGTACTCTTTTGCCAGTAACGTGTTAACGTAATACACACATCACGTAATGTTTATATTTCTTAATGCTTATTATATTTCAAATAGAAATAGCAGTTTTTAAAGCCTCTCTAAAAGTATGAGGATCTATGCCAAACTTTTTGTGTGTTGACCTGAGTTTTGTTTTCATTTTTGTAACTATCAGAGGAGAACTGGTTGTTCTTCACCTCAAACATACACATGTGGTCTTCTGGTATCTGATGTCCAGTCTGAATCCATCAGTCAGCTTGTATGGCTGAACAGCTTCTATTGTCAGTCTTTCAGCCTTTGGCTTTTCAGCTTCACTGGTGCCGTTATTCGTTCTCACAGCTGTCCTCATAGTTCCTCTGTCCTGAGGAATTGGGAATGCAGGCTTATACTGACAGGTTTTACTCTCAGGGCCCACTTTTGACAGCATGATGGTCTAAACTGAAAACCCATTAGCCAAACGGGATAAAAAACTTATCTTTAGTTCCTGCAGAAGACTCTGGCTGGGAGGATTAGGGCAGGGTGCTAAGTTTCCACCAGTCCAGCATTTTCTCCTCTAGCTTAGAAAATCAGTTATGCAGGACTGAAGAGAGGAAAGTATGATAACAGGTGGATCTCTTAATATATAATATAGTAAAACATATTTCTGTTAAGTCTTATTAAAATGTAAAAACATATTAGTCTGTCCCCAGTCCATACAGTCCATATGTGAACACTAAACAGCCAAAACAGTCTTGTTTTCAGTTCATCACGGTTGTGAACACGGTTTAGCCCCGCCCATTCCCACTGAAGTGAAGCATAGTGTTGTTACTGCAGACAGTCTGTAGCTGTTTATTGGAGTAGAAAACAAACGTTGTGCTGTTCCTGGCTGTTGGGAAACTAATGGGTCATTGCAGCCTCCCAGCAGTTTACAAAAACAATACAAAGCAGCTAAACAGAACAGAAACCATTAACATGACACCCAGTTATACATTTCCATTCCTTTTGATGATCAAGACTCTGTAGACAGACTGACCAGCTGTGTGTCAGATATTTCTCAGTGGATGTCGCAAAACTTTATACAGTTAAGTCACGAAAAACGGAAATACTGATCGTTGCTGCTAAAACTCAGAGAAAGCTGCTTTATGAGGAAATTGGTTCTTTAGCTTCATTTACCAAACCTGAAGTAGAAAACCTGGGTGTGCTCTTAGACTCTGAGCTCTGTTTTATCCCGCATGTAAACGCAGTCACTAAAGTAGCTGTCTATCATTTGAGAAACATCACTAAAGCCTTTTCTATCTCAGAGTGACACAGAGATGCTTGTTCATGCATTTGTTACAAACAGAGTTGATCCCGGCCACAGATGGCTGCAGCATCACCAGGCATCAAACTTGCGATCTCCTGAGCTGAAGCTGTGTTTTATTAAATTTCTGTCTTGCCTCTTCGATTAAAACTTCACTGGATCGCCTGGTGATGCCACAGTCATCCGTGGCTGAGAGTCCAAGAGCACAATTGTCCTCGCTTTCTGGGTGGGTGGGATGGCCCCCCGTCTCCCCCCCCACCACTCAACACGATAATAGCCGGCACAGGTGTCTAATAGCTGATGTAACATAACTGGCGACTAGTGTTCTCCTCCAAGCATGTTCAGCTGTCCAATGATGTTGCAGTCGAAAAGATAGGGTGGTGGTTCACATGAGTCGGTGGTTGCTTGTGTTAGCCTTTGCCCTCCTAGCACTGGTGGTATTGTGATAGGGGGAGTCCTAACTATGGGTGGATTTGGATACGACTAAATCGGGGAGAGAAAAACACGTACCTAGGTGTTTTACACTGTCCTCTGTGACCTAACAGCCTGTTTAATTCTAAAGGAATTAGAGAGAGGATGGAAAATGATCTTGTAAAAATTGCAACTGCTATTGATACAGTAGAATATAAAATATAAGAAAAATGTGAAATATGTCTCAGTTAACACTGGAGATGTGTGAAATATATATATACATATAACATGCCACAACTCAATGTGTGTTAACAGTGGATTATTATTTTAATGCAAAAGCTCAGATAGTAAGGGCCTTGACTGACGTAACTCAGGCGCATTGACAGAGTCTGATTGAATGCAGGCTTAAGCCTTGTAGAACATTCCTTTCAGATGTACATGTAGAGATCAGTTGTCATTTGGCAATGCATTACAGATGCACAGAACAGAAAGTTCTCTGTTTACAACTTTCGTACTTTGTTTTAGCACAATAGTCATTCTTCAAAATGAAAAATGTCAATACTGAGAGGTTTTAATTTAATTCTGTAGGCTGGAATTGAATTTGGTGTAATAGAAGATTAATTGGTCTTTATGAATGCTGCTGTTTTGTACATTTTACAGATTTTTCTGTGAGGTTTGTGAAAACACTTTCTGCAAGTGCTTCATCCGTTTAGATTTGCAGGAGGCCTTCTTTACCCAACTGGAACGCACATGTTTCCCATTTGACATCTTATTTTACAGATTAACACCTGAATTTGGTCTTAATCCAGGTGTAAACTCATTGTCAGTATGGATTGTCTGGCACATAGCTTAAAAGGCCAGCATTATGCATTTTGTTGTATATTGTTTGAGGTCCACTTACCACATTTGTGTGATTTTAACCAAAAATAGTCATCATTCATTTTCACATGGCCTTTTCCAGCCTCTCTGTGTCCCTTGGAATTAAACAGGCTGTTTATGTTACTGTGCCTTTAAGAATAATTAACATAAATAAGCTCTTTTCTGATTGGCCGACTTGTATTGCGCCTCATACAAAAAGCAGGCTGAAATTCTCTTTATGACTTTACTGTGAGTGGACAGGGCTAAGCTGCTGTAGGCCGAATAGGTGAATATATGTAAACGTACTGTTATTTGTGGCATCATGAAGACAATGAAATCAAAATAGGCTGTTTTTGTTTTTGGGTTCCACATAAAATCATATGGTCTAGGGATTTATATTCACTTATCAAAGTTAATTTTACGATAGAATTGAACTTAGAGCAGTGGAATATGAACTCGGCTCTACTCAGTGAAGTAGCTGATCTCACTAAGAAAAGCGTCGCTAAACAAAGTCAAGATTTACATCTTGAATTTCTGTATCAAAGCCTGTAAAGTCCTGTAATACGCTGCATTTCTGTAATTATTCTGGTCTGGCTCATGTTATCACTGCTGCTTGACTGCTGTGGTACTTTGGCCTACTTTCGTGGCTCTTTGACCTTTTCTCTCTCTTCTCTCCGGGTTGAATAAACTCTGCCGTGTTTGATTGCTCCGGTCTATCTCAGGTTGTTGAACCTTACCTAGAAACCTGTGTTGTGTTTGATTGGTCAGGTCTGGCCCAGTGTGCAGAGCTGTGCTGGCAGTTAAGAGGGGAGGCAGGTAAAAGGCAGGTCCCTGGGGCAAAGGTCGCCCTGCAGCACAATATTGGCCTCGGTGGAGCTGTGGTGGTCACACTTTACAGGATGGGATTCCCTCAAGAAGCAAGGTGAGCAGTTATTCCGATTAATATACATTTAAGAAGCATAATATCTGAGACAGCATATCTAATTACGTAGGTTTACTTATCTGGTTGCATATATATGTATTTGCTGTCAAATTACATTTGAAAATCAGAGCTGTGATAGATTTAGATTTTATTTATATGCTCATAAGTAATTTTATAGCATGGTCATTTAAAGGGATAGTTCACTAGAAAATCAGATTTACAGAATGTTCACTTTATCCCAAAAGAAGTCAATAAGTCAAGACATGTTTGGGGTCCAGAGTCCAGTAAAGCTATTATAACAATAGTCTGTGTCAGTGAAAAGCTTTGGGTGACATAGACCTCCATTACTTGGTAGCTACATTAGCCCTGTAGCTTCAGTGCAGAACTATAGAAGCAAACTTCAGACACCAAACATGTCTTCGCTCACTGATTGCATTTGGGATAAGAGGAACATTCTCTAAATTAGATTTTTCAGTGAACCATTCCTTTAAACAGTGCCTCCTTTTAATATGTGAATGATAAATTCCTGCCCATTGTTGTGATTTCATTTCAATCTGTATCCACCTGTCTTTATATTTGTACTGCCTGAATGTACAAAGTAGGGCAGCAGTTGGTTTGCACTTTTTAATTAGGTTTTGCAGTGAGCAGGTCATCCTGTCTTCTGAACTTCAATTAAAGTTGTTGGTACAGGCGGACACCTGTGACCCTTGCCTAATAATCTTTGAACTAAGTCCTGACGGAGGCTCACCATATCTCCAGGACCTTGCACTTTGTCCGTGTCACGCTACTCTCCCCGCAAAGTCACGTTTCATATAAAAACTGTCCGTTATGTTGTGTGTTTTCCCAGCTCACGGATAGCTGCAGTGCCTACAGGTGCTGCGGCTGGCTTGGAGGGATTTAAAGCTCACACAGTTTTTAAAGAAATTGAGAAGAGGCTGAAGGAGGTAGGAAAGAGCCAGCCATGAAGAGGATTTTTTTTGTTGTTGTTTTTTTTTCTGTCCTGTATTTCTGTTTCTTGTTTATATGATGAGGGGAAAGTGCTTTTAAATATGCTTTCTATGATAGAAAGCATTTACTATGCCAGGGGTTGCAACTCAAATGTTAAGAAGATCCATTTCGTCCTGTCAACAAAAATCAAACCACCTTGGGAGCCACAACATTTTATGTCCATTTTACCCTCTTGGCTGTAAATATGTATCAGTATGCGCTAAAGTACTAGCATAGGATAAAAATATAAACAAAAACGCAGACTTACTTTGCTCTTCTTTAAGCTTCAGCTCAGCTATAGGCACTTTTTCCGCATCTCCGGCAGGAAACTTTTCCGCAAAAGTGGAATAGTTTCTTGTAAAATCTCTCTTAATGTTTGATTTTTTTACGAGGCTGAAGTCGCTTCTCATTCGCACTCATTCAAACACTAAAAAGTCGCGAAGCTGAAATCAGTTTCTCGTTCGGCAGCTTCTTGTTTGAATTTTCCTGTTCCACCTTAAATGGTGCCTGAGGCTCCAGAATGTAACTGCTGCAACATTTAAGGTGGAATGGGAGAATTCAAACAAGAAGCTGGCGAATGAGAAACTGATTTCAGCTTCACGACTTTTTAGTGTTTGACAGTTTCTCGTTGCAGATTAAACATATCAGGAAACGAGCTGGAGTGATTATAAATGTAAATAAGTAAATTCGTCTCTAATTTATCGGCGTTCATCCTAAGTCTTTCTCTTTGTCATTTCGTTAGCTACTAGCTAGCTGTTGTCTGCATTGCTATGGTGACTGCTTGCCAATCCGTATGATTAAAGGTTGGTGAATAAGCAAGTATAGGCTACATTAACTCCAGAGTTTAAGACCATTTATTGTTAAACTGTGTTGAACGATCAGCAGAGCTTTATTTTACTGTAAATGAGGATTATTTTATTTTTACCTACAAATCTGATTCAGTTGTGGAGCCACAACAGAGCAGTAAAAGAGCCACATATGCCTCCAGAGCCACGTGTTGCCGACCCCTGAACTAGGCTTTAAACTTTGCACATATTCAGCCAATTTGACATCACATTAGCCATTTGACCAGGAAGGAAGCATATATACTTTAAACTGATACAGTACTGTGCAAATGTCAGAGACCACCTCCTATTTATTTAACTTCCAGTAAAACAGCCATCAAGTACAATTTTCAAGAGATGTTTCTGAGGAGATTAGATATTAGATCATCTACTTGCATAAGGAAGGAGAAAGTCAAAGGAATGTCAAAAAACAGGAGTTTCCAAAACTGGAGTTCATAAAATGATTAAAAGCTACAGAGAGAATGAGACTCCTAACAGCCACCTGGAAGACCTGGTAGACACCAAAGCTGTCCCCATCATATAAACAGAAATCACACTGTCCTGTAAAACGGGGGAGTATTTCAGGATATTTAATTTTCCTTCTCCTTCTAATTAGCTGATCACCAAAAATGATTACAGATCACCGCAGTCTTGTTTTGAAATTGAGTATAAAGGAACGGTGCCAAGTCAGAATCCATTTTGGCAGCCAGCCTCGTCTCCTGGTCGGCAAAAAACATGTGCTGTTGTCTGTTAGCAGGTTTTGTAATTACATTACCATTACATTACGTTACCTTCAATTAGAACAGGACTGCTAGCACTGCAGGAGCTCTGGTTTGGCAAATTATAGATCGTAATTATTACTTAGCAAGAACTGCAGACACTGCAGAGTCATACTGGACTGAAATCCCTGATCTCTTCAGTATTCACTCAGATTACTGAACCTCCCCAGGTAAAACTAACCCAGCTCAAATAGGGCTTTAGAAACTACTTTAAAACTTTTAAGCGAAAGACTTTAGGTCAACATGTCCTTAAAAAATTGAATAATATTAGGATTTGACTCTTAGTGTTATGGTAAAGTAATGATTACAAAAAGAAACATCATGATTCAGAATGTTCTGGATAAATGGATGAATTTTGAATTTTCAGAATGTGTGTCATTGTAATAATTTAGATTACAAGAAGAATTTTTAGCTAATGTAATCAGTTTTATATTGAAACGCAGTTTCTTTTTTTACCATCTCTATTTTTGTTGAATGCATGATTGCTGGCTATTAACTGACGTTAAAGACGGCGTGTAATTGTTATCTGTGAACAGTAAGGAGTCTTGTCCAGTGAGATGGAAAGCACTTTGGCCGCAGACTTTAATGTCATGATGTTCCTTCATGCAGGAGGGAGAGAGTTTTGTAAAGAAAATTGGCGGCGTTTTCGCCTTTAAAGTGCTAAACGGGCCCGGCGGAAAAGAAGCGTTGTGGGTCGTGGATGTGAAGAATGGTAAAGGCTCGGTGGACAACGACTCAGGTATGTGAGGTTTATTTATTTATTTTTTTCCTTTAGGTCTAACAAGAGCATCGGGGGGCAGTTGGTGAAGCCTGACAGGAACTGTCCACCAATTTGGTACAGAGCAGGTGGTCAGAGCTGTGTGAAGAGAATGTGTGGTTTGGCTGATTTTGAGGACACTATGACACGAGGGCACAGAGTTTTCCTGGAAGGCTGTACATGTGAACAGAAATGAAGGCATTTTGGTCTGATTTATTAGTTGGCCTGATTCGCCCACTAATAAAACTATGCTGGGTCTGCTTGATTGAACAGTTGGATGATGACAGTGTTCAGTAGTTGTTTTGGTTTTGCTTCTCCAGTCAGCTCCAGAATTATTGGCATGGAATTATTACGGAAAATGAAAAGTCAATGGATTGAATAAACCACACATGCATTGAGTGATATTTTGATATTTTAAACAAATGAATAAGCTGCATATTTTTAATTTTTATTTTTGTGTTTTGAAACCAAGAAAAGTTCACAATTTATTTTTGGAAACGTAGGTCTCAAAAATATTGGCACCACCCATTATTAACATTTGGTGAAACGAGAGTAACGGCGCTCACTAACTTTCTTTAGTGCTAAACAAGGTTGGAGAACACTTGTTTGAGGAATCTTGGACCACTCCTCCATGTAGAACATTCACAGTTAGGCCCAATCCCATTTCACCCCTCGCCCCTACCACTTATCCCTTACCCCTCCTTTTTGCGTGTTCATATCTTGGTAGCCAGCTACCTAAATTTCCTGTTCTGCTTTAAATAGTGCAGCGAGAAAATTCAAGCAAGAAGCTGGTGAATATCTGACTTCAGCTTCATATCACTGAAGAATTAGGGGGGGTGATAATAAATAATTGCCCCCTTTTTGAAGGCATATGATTCCCTAAATGTAACTAAAGCCCAGCAGTGAGGAGCTGAACTTTACCGTCCTCTGCTGTCACTGCAGACTGGCAGGGTCGCCTACAGAGCAGCGCTAGTAGCTGTTAATGAAGTGATGCTCTTTTTATTTGAGGGTCCCATTTCATAGGGAAGATTTCAACCACTACTCCTTGTAACTCCACTGTGTTCCAAGGGGCAAGGAGACACTCGAAAACAAGGGGTAGGGGTAAAAATAAGAAATGGGATTGGGCCTAAGTCTTTAGTCTTTGCTTGTGGACTGCCCTTTTCAATGCACACCACAGGTTTTCAGTTGGGTTCAGGAATGGAAACTGAGAGGGCCACTGCAAAACTGTGATTTTGTCTTTTTTTTGTCCATTTCTGTGTGGATTTTGATGTGTGTTGGGCGTCATTATCTTGCCAAAAGGTCCACCCACAGCCAACATTCAGCCAGCCTTCTGGCAGATGCAGACAGATTTTGGGCTAAAATCTCTTGCCGTTTTATGGAATTTATTATGTCATTGAATTTACTTGAGCCCCTGGTTCCACTAGCAGCCCCAAAGCATCAATGTATAATTTTTAATATAGTTTAATGATCGTTTTTGTCCAGTTTCTTGAGTGGTACCATTAATATGTGTATATTATTTTGGAATACTTACTACTCAGATCACATTTCTGAAAGAAAAAACATACTTTGTACTCACTTGACTTTCTTACTTGTTACAGATTTCAATGATCAGATGTTTCTCATTATTCCAGCAGGTCGCTCACATTTTATTTAAAAAATCAACCAAATTCCTATGATTTTTAAATGAAAGTCCTTGTGCCAGAACCAATACCACTCATTAGTCACTGCATCACACATCACCAAAAAGGAAAATGTTACTTTTATACACTATATATACAACTTTATACCACTTTTTATATAGTATGTTTACATTTTTTACTGCCAGTCACTTTTTCTGGCTGCCAATGTATGAAATTCTCTCATGGGGTTTTACTGCCTTTTGTAAACAAGCTTGTCGATGCCCATTTATAACATTTCATGATTCCAGTGGTGGACGAAGTACGCAAACCATGAACTTGAGTTAAAGTAGAGATACCCAAGGTAAAATATTACTCCAGTAAAAGTAGAAGTTCCTCCCTTTAGACCTCCACTTGAGTAAAAGTACAAAAGTATTTGCCTTCAAATGTACTTAAGTATCGAAAGTGAAAGTACTAATAGATTAATTATGGCTCTGATGTCCTGTTATCACTTTTGTAACAAGACTTTTGCTTCATTAACTGATTTTAGGTGAAAATACTCTTGACGTTGAACTGTGTGCTGCACTGGGTCTGTATGTCCAACAGGTCAAAACAAGCTCAAAGCAAAGTGCGCGCTGTGCCCTGATTGGTGTTTTTGCTTCACGCTTCTTTCTTTCTCACGTCACATTTTTATACACACAAAAGCCAAAAGGAACGGCAGATTTCTCATAATGTAGTGGAGTAAAAATTAAGATATTTGACTTTGAAATGTAGTGGAGTGAAAGTAAAAAGTCACTCAAAATGGAAAAACTTCAGTAAAGTACAGATACAGAAAAAAACTACTTAAGTACAGTAATGAATCACATTTACTTAGTTACTGTCAAACACTGCATGATTCACCTTTGTTTCAGAATGTAGCAGAAATAGAACTAGAACAAGAATATGCAAGTGTCAGTCGTGTGGATGTCACTGCAGCACTAATTAAAATGGCAAAATGTCTGTCACAGCAGGTGGTCGACTAGAAAAGAGAATTGTATGTAGGTATTAAAAACCAACCATAAAAAAACCTCTCTACTGTGGAACAAGCAGTCCCCAAAACTCTCGGCTAGCTTTTCAGCAGCATGTTGAGCAAAGCTCAGTTCTTCACAGGTGCTGCAGTACAGCTTTATTATGGATGAGGGTTTTGGTTCAAGGCAGAAGTTTCCTTCTGTTTGTGAAATGTATGTAAACAACAAAACAATTTCTTTTTCTACCCTGTATTTCACTCATTTTCATGTCTGTGTTTCATCATAATGTCATTAAAATGTAATTTAAGACTTTGTGTGAAAAGCCCATTCCATCTGACCTCCCGCTTTGGTTTCTGGGAGAGGTATAATTAAACAGTCTGCCCATAAAACAAACCAATTGGACATGGTTGGCAATACACATATTCCAAATGTCAGTAGTTCACTTCTTTTGTAAAGAGAGGACTCTACCACGCACCACATTGTAATGTGAATTTTAATATGCATGCAACCTAAAGTATGGCTCAATCCCATTTCTTATTTTTACCCCTACCCCTTGTTTTCGAGTGTCTCCTTGCCCCTTGGAACTGAGTTACAAGGGGTAGTGGTTGAAATCTTCCCTCTGAAATGGGACCCTCAAATAAAAAGAGCATCACTTCATTAACAGCTACCAGCGCTGCTCTGTAGGTGACCCTGCCAGTCTGCAGTGACAGCAGAGGAGGGTAAAGTTCAGCTCCTCACTGCTGGGCTTTAGTTACAATTAGGGACTCATATGCCTTCAAAAAGGGGGGCAATTATTTATTATCACCCACCCCTAATTCTTCAGTGATATGAAGCTGAAGTCAGATATTCACCAGCTTCTTGTTCGAATTTTCATGTTCCACTTTAAATGGTGCAGCAGTTACATTCTGGCGCTTCAGGCATTTAAGGTGCAACGGGAAATTTAGCTATCTAGCTACTGAGATATCAGCATACTACTGCTTTTATGCTTCTTACAAAGAAAAGGACCATAATACACTGAAACAACATTAAACTAAGATAATACAGTGATTATTTTAATTTTTAACAGAAAAAACTCTCACATTTGTGGGTTTCTTTGTTCTCTTGTTCAGCCATCCTTTCTTTTTTTTCTCATATCACTCTGTTTGGAGTGAGACTCTGAAAAACCTCCGTTTGGAGGGCCATGTAGCTCTAACACTTCACCCTACCCACAACCACAATCAGGACACCCTACCCCTAGATGTGAACACGCAAAACAGAGGGGTAAGGGCTGAGTGGCAGGGTCGAGGGGTGAAATGGGATTGGGAGTGAGTTTCCAAAGCTCCAAATAAAGCTCAAACATGCGATAACTGATGCTCACTGATTTAGTTTAAAGTACTTGATCAGTAGTTTGTATCAAAAGGGTTTCTCTTATTAGACTTGTACTGGAATTAAATCAACATACATCATCTTTTGTCGTTTGTCCCAGGGAAAAAAGCCGACTGCACCATTTCCATGGCAGATGCTGATCTGTTTGAGTTGATGACCGGGAAGCTGAATCCACAGACTGTGAGTGCTGTCAAACTGATTAAATCTTTGTTGACATCCTGTTCATAACTGTTTGGCAAATAATACGCATGTCAAGCACTTCTATCACTCACTGTATTGGCTCACTGAGGGAGCGCAGATTGAAATGGATGCAGGATAAGCCCCTCTTAGCTCATGTCTGTGGCCCACCTACCACAATACAGCGCTGCTCTATAAATGCGGCTTGAAGGCCACAGATGCTTCCATTAGTAAGCATCAAGCCTGCCAGGACAATTTTATAGAATTATCATCTGCGCATCATTGTCGGTAATAGTTGGGCCTTTTCTGTGTCATGGAATCGTGCCAGGTTCCCCGACACGTGTTAAGCTTATTTGCATTTTCTATGCCCATTTATCCTGAACTTCCGTCCGGAATGTGAGCCTGAAAACGTTCTGCATGCACGTGTCAGCACTGATAAACCAGCAAACTATTCACTATAAATGAATATGAATTTTAAAGAGTAACTACACCCCACTATTTTCAGGTGACTCCACCCCTGGCTCAGCTTTCGAAAATGGGAGTGGCGCGCTGGGAGGGAAACTGGGTGGGCTGGGCTGCTGTGTTTTAGAGCTAGTGAATGTTAGCTACTAGAAAATATGGAGAGAGACAGAATCAAATGGCACTTTCGCAACTTTGAGGTCCCACAAGGTTGATCATTTTCACTACTACCATCTTGAACGGGGGTGAGTGTTTCTGATCAGGCAGTGCGTCTTGAGCCTTACCAGTATGAGCCTCTGACTCAAACCGCCGAGGAGTTAAGGCAGTGGCAGAAAATGAATAGCAGCGAGCGGCAGAGGCGTCGGAATGGTAGAACATTCCCTAAAACCACAACAGCTAGCTTCTGATGATCTGTTCAGCAGGTCCATATTCGATATAACCGGAGTCCTGATTTCTTAGATGCACTGAATTCTGAATGAATAAAGTGGATTTCTTTGAACTCTGTTTAGGTTTCATTCATTTTGACATCAAGCTATGAAAAGCATACTTCTATTAGGCCATTAGGTACCATTTCCTTCTATACAGGTGCTCTTGTGGGCACTGTACAGATCTCTCACCTGTAGAGAACGTTTGCACTCAACCCTTTCTAGCCTAAGCTGGTTGGCTTGTGCTAGCCGTTTTAGCATGCTGCCTGTTTGAGTCCAAGCACAGAAGTATAACAGGGAGACTGTATCGTACCAAACAGGTTGTTCACAGATGTGACCAGGTTGGGGTCGTACGCTGCTTCACCGGTCATCCAGGATTTGCTGCAGTGGCCCTAAATCCTTACGTTCTGCAAGCTGTGCATGGCACTTATCAGCAGATATAGTCCGTCAGTGCACCTAATCACATGTTGAACGTTATCAATATAAGGCTAGAAAACTACAGTATTTACTAATACAATAAGTAAGAATTAGCAGTAATAACTAACTAGAACACTAAATAACATGCTAAATGCGATGAGACGATGTGAATGGAAAAACATCCAAAACGGTGATGTTCTGACCCGCTCTAGGGTCGAATGGTTTCATGTTTGAGCGCAGCACAAGCAGAGCCATCTCTCTGCATGGCTCTGGGCATGAGTAGGGCATCATTGGGGGCGGCAATGTTGGTTGACTGATTTATATACTGTGACCTGTCAGTATAGCAGAGTTGAACCAGAGGGGCGCTGCAGAGGCAGAACTGACCATGATAAAGATGCTATTTTTTCCATTTGGAAAGCTGTGTTCACATTTCAAGCAAGCCTGGTGTATTTTATTATTACAGAACAATGCATTTCAGCTATTATTGGAAAAAAAAGGTCTTGAGGTGTAGTTACTCTTTAACCAATACCGCCCGAGTATCAATACCATATTTATTGTTATGCAAATTGGACCAGCTTTTGTCTTGACTATTTTTGTCCTCCTTTCTTTCTGCCACTCTCTCCCGCCACGTTCATCCGAAGGCCTTCTTCCAAGGCAAGCTAAAGATTACTGGGAATATGGGGATGGCCATGAAGCTGCAGAACCTACAGCTGACACCAGGGAAAGCCAAACTGTGAAGATACATGACGCTATTTTGAGATCCAGAGTGACCGCGTCCATCCAATTCAAGTCAATGGTGATCTCATTTCCAAAACCAGAACAATAAGAAATAACTTTCCGGACTTAATCGTCAAACCTTCTGAATTCTTGATGAAATACGTACATTTTCAAACAATGGTAAATGTTACACAAAGATGGTATTTTTAATGGTGTGTGACAGATGGTACATGACAGCATGTAAGACCTACCGGACCCAGAAACACGACTAAAGAACGCACAAATCACAAATAAGTATTCCGGAGTTACGTTAAAAGCACAAATGTTCTTCCTCAAAATGGATATTCAGCAGATTACTGCTGGAGTTGTATAACACTGCTGTATAATGGCCACACTTTTTCAGGTTTAGACCCATATGGACTTCCATTATGCTGCATAATGTGCCTCTAACAGAGAGAATAATCATTACTGTTATCTCTGAAATTCATGACTTGCAGCCTTAATGAACTATGTAACCTAATAGTCCTCTAATGTGAAACTATACGTCTGAAATAACCACATTCTGAGGTGTTGGAATGAGCTGTTAAAGAAGTTGAAATGACTGATGATCAGCTTAGTTTCTCATGTATGACTACATCCGTTAGCAAAATGTCTAACATGCTAGCTTGAATATGGATTCTGTGTAGATGTTGGATATACATCACTGTGCAAAAGTCAGAGACCACCTTTTTTATTTTTCGTTCATTTCCAGTCAAAACTGTCATTAAACCCAAGTTATCCATTTCTCAGTTTCATGGAAAGAGCAGAAACATGTTTATCAGAGTCACACAAAAGCCTGGACTAGATATAATATCACTTTTTCAATATTCAGTGTGTCACTCTTTACCTTTGTTACAGCTTCCATTCTTTTCAGGAGACTCGCTTTCAGTTTCTCAGAGAAATCTGCAGACACGCCTCCAAAGTTCAGTCTTAGAAGTTGGTTTTGCATCCAAACACGTTCAGTGTTGTTGGAAACTCCCATTTTGGAAAGTTGGAAACTTTTTCCCAAGGAAGAACTTCCTCCTTCCCTATACAAGAGGATTGTTTTATATCTAGTCTTCTCAGAAATATCTCCTAAAAATGGGTTATGTGCATTAATTGGCTGTTTTGACTGAAAGTTGAAGAAATGAAGGGTGTTACCGACTTTTGCGCAGCACTGAACACCTTTCTGTCTAATTGTAAATGTACAAAATTATGAAACGTAATTTCTAATATATATTTCCTAAAAAATATAAGCCTTGCCTCCTTTATTTGTTAAACATCTCGTGTTAGAGCTGTTCAAATCATTTCCATTCAAAATGGCGTGTTAAGTATTGCAGTAATGTTTTTTGATGTTTGGTTTGTTGGGTTTAAAAGTTTTGATTTTTAAGAAAAAGTTCTAAACTAGATATTTTTATAGAACAAATTTGCACTGTGGGTAGAAGGACAAAATAGTTGTAAATGTGAATCAAGTGCTTTTACTCAATTCCCTGCTCGCTATGCTGCTCTAAAACCACAGGAAGCCAAGCTCACCCACAGCCAAGAATTCTCCTACCTGTATTTGCGGATTTCGGCTTCCAGTAAAGTGGAAAAAACCACAGTAAGTGGATGGAAAAATGACTGAATGACTGACTGTGCTCTTAAGCCCTGACCCACCAAAGATGAGCAGCAGTACTTGTTCTAAAGGAAGACTTGTCATTTCCATGATGAAGAGCAGGAAGCTAGATTTGACTGTACCTGCTAACATGATTGCTAGACTTTTCACATTTCTGTAAAATGCATCGAAAATAACCTCAGGCTTTCAGTCTGTTGAAAGGCCTGAAATGTTTTCCGACCCTTTTTAACAATAGATTGTGCTCCAGTTTGCAATGAACTCCCTGAATGATTTGATTGGTGGGCATTAAGGTCGTTGTGGAATCCGTCCAAGAGATTTGCTGTTTATATTAATTTATAATGCAGAAATGCTTCTTTAGGCCGTGTGGCCATGCAGCCCACTGCCTTCTGGCTTCTATAGCTTCTGCTTATCATCCCCCACCAGTGTACGCTCCCAGGGCAGCCTGCCAACCAAACTGGTTGCATCTCGCGAGCAGCTGGCCAACCCATTGTCCACTCAGACTCGCAGCTAGAGTAACTGGGTTTCTGTAACAGGGTGAACGGTGGCACAAAGATGTGCCTCGCAAAATGGGGCCTTAATGCAACGGCAACATTCACTCACTAATGCATCTGAAATCACTGTTGGATTTACTAAGGCTGTAGCTGATCAAGCAAACTCAAAGGCACAAAGGGTTTAAAATTAGTGTCAAATGATGGCGCCGTCAACAAAACAGATGACCGAACGTTCTACAGAGGGTGTTATTTTGCTGTGGCTAAAATTTTATAAATAAAATTTTTAAAAACGTGGCTCAGACGAAGGCTGCACTTTCCAAGAGTCTGTCCCAAATGCATGTGGTTAAACCAAAAACCCTCACGGTTTCTTGCCTTATAGATCCGCACAACTTTGAAGTCACCAAAGTGTGGACTTTGAGGAGGATTGCAGGGATCAGGGCACCATTTGGGACTGGGATAATGATGTCTGCCGCCTTTGGTCTCCCAGCAACACACCTTTGAGACTGCCAGGTTTTAAAAGACAGAAAAATCCAGGCGAAACAGGTCACTGCTGTCGTTCAAACGTTGGTAAATCAAGGGGGATATGTAATTAGCCACACTCGCAATACATCCACCTATTTTCTATGCGATCAAATGCATAGAATAAGCATGTTTTGCTGATGACCTCAGAGGCTTTTGTACATAATACATGGGCAGAATGCATCAGATTTGCGCCTGACACTTCATGCATTGTACATTGGGCCCTCGACGTGCAGGAGCTGAGCCTCGCTGTAGTCCAGGAGTGTCAAACTCAACCAGTAAAAGTAACCTGAACTGGCCATTGTCTATTCAAAATATGCAAAGATTACATTACAAAAAAATATGAATACTTGAAATA